AGTAAATTTTCACTGTTTTTCACTATTTTTGAGTTCAGTATTTTTCTACCGTGTTTCACTGTTTTTAAAATTAATAATTTTTCACTATTTTTTAGTTCACTGTTTTTGATTTTTTTGAATTCATTGTTTTTCACTAGTTTACTAATTTTTTCATTATTTGAGTTTATTGTTTTAACTAATTTTTAGTTCACCATTTTTGGTATATACAATTTTCTTGTCATTAATTATATTTTAGTAAAAAAATTGAATTTTTACTATCTAAGACATTAAAATAAGATGAAATTTATTGTTTGCAAATTTTGTATATTTCAACACCAAATAAATGAGATAAAATTAAGTCCTAATTTCAATGATTGAAACAGTGAAATAAGTTGAACTTTTACTACCTGAGACATTAAAATTAGATGAAATTCACTATTTTAAAATTTTACATATTTCAACACCAAATAAAATAGGTAAAGAGCAAAATGGCCTGATTTATTTCATTATCATTGAAACAGTTAAATTTGAAATTTAAAATTTTACGAACTATGAGTTTCATTCTATTAAAATTCACTGTTTATATTTTTTTTAATATTTTTGAGTTTGTTGTTTGTGATATATGTTTCTCAATTCAAATTTTTAATATTTTTTATAGTTCACTATTTGTAAAAATTTTGGACAGTGAACTATGAGTTTCATTTTATTAAATTTTACTATTTTTGAAATTTTTGAAAAGTGAACTACGAGTTTCGGTCTATTCAATTTCACTGTTTGTGAAGATTGACCAAAATAAAGAAATAAATTTACTTTTTACTGTCCAAAACATTGAAATAGATAAATTTTACTATTTCACATTTGTTGTTTTGATTGACTTTGGGGTAGTATGATGTGGTCAACTATTTTTTAATTCAATAATTTTTCATTGTTTTTTAGTTCACTATTTTTTATTATTTTTAAGTTCAGTTCACTGTTTTTGAATTTAGCAATTTTTTTACTGTTTTTTAGTTTAATAGTTTTTTATTATTTTTGAGTTCACTATTTTTCACTATTTTTTCATTATTTTTTAGCTTGACTAGTTTTTTTACTATTTTGGGTGGTGGGTGGCGACGATGATACGTGATGGTGGGTGGTTGGCTAGTTTTTCATTGTTTTTTGTGGTGAATGGTAGTGATTGGCGGCGATGGTGGGTGGTGTAGTGGATTATGTAGTGGGTGGTGACTGTTGCGATGTTGGGTGGTTGGTTAGTTTTTTATTGATTTGGGTGGCAAATGGAGGTGGTTGACAGCGATAGTGGATGGTGGTAGCGATGACAAATGGAGTGGTGGACAATTTTATTGTTTTAGGTGCTAGGTGGTGGTGGTGGTGGTTGGCGACGATGGTGAGTGGTGGCGGTTGGCGATGATGATACATGGTGGGAGGTGGTTGGCTAGTTTTTTGCTGTTTTAGGTGATGGTGTCTGGTGGTGTTGGTTTACAGCAATGGTGGATGGCAAGTGATAGTTGGTGGACGATAGTGGATGGTGGTGGTTGGCAACGACGATGGGTAATGGCAGTTGGCGGCTGGCAGGTGGTGGTGGTGGCAATGGGTGGAGGTTAGCGGCGATGGTGGATGGTTATGGGTGGTGGTGGCCGGCGGGTGATGATGGGTGGCGCGTGGTGGTCGGTGGATGGCAGTGGATGGTGGTGGTTGGTGGCGATGGTGGGTGGTTAATGGCAATAGTGGGATGGTGGTGGCAGGTGGGGATGGTGGGTAGTGGCGATGGGTAGCGGCGGCGGCGATGGATGATGATGGTGGCAGGTGTCAAGTGGGTGGCGGTGGCGATGGGTGATTGTGGTGGTGATGACGTTGGGGTGATTATAGGAGTGGTAATCGATATAAATATTAGATAATGGTGAAGATTTTTAAATAAGCTCCTTCATTAATGGTATTTTTGTTAAGATTGATTTTATAGACTTCTNGTTGGGGTGATTATAGGAGTGGTAATCGATATAAATATTAGATAATGGTGAAGATTATTAAATAAGCTCCTTCATTAATGGTATTTTTGTTAAGATTGATTTTATAGACTTCTGGCCTTAAATATGTAAAGACTGGACCTAAAGCCGAAGAAGTCACTCGGGGTGGAGCTCTCACCAAATTTCCCTTTAGTTTATTGCCCTATCGTTCGTGGGATAATTTCTGAATTTCAGAGAAATGATGCACTCCTCTTTAGTTACTCNGATTTTTTTGAATTCATTGTTTTTCACTAGTTTACTAATTTTTTCATTATTTGAGTTTATTGTTTTAACTAATTTTTAGTTCACCATTTTTGGTATATACAATTTTCTTGTCATTAATTATATTTTAGTAAAAAAATTGAATTTTTACTATCTAAGACATTAAAATAAGATGAAATTTATTGTTTGCAAATTTTGTATATTTCAACACCAAATAAATGAGATAAAATTAAGTCCTAATTTCAATGATTGAAACAGTGAAATAAGTTGAACTTTTACTACCTGAGACATTAAAATTAGATAAAATTCACTATTTTAAAATTTTACATATTTCAACACCAAATAAATTAGGTAAAGAGCAAAATAGCCTAATTTATTTCATCATCATTGAAACAGTTAAATTTGAAATTTAAAATTTTACGAACTATGAGTTTCATTCTATTAAAATTCACTGTTTATATATTTTTTTTAATATTTTTGAGTTTGTTGTTTGTGATATATGTTTCTCAATTCAAATTTTTAATATTTTTTATAGTTCACTGTTTGTAAAAATTTTGGACAGTGAACTATGAGTTTCATTTTATTAAATTTTACTATTTTTGAAATTTTTGAAAAGTGAACTACGAGTTTCGGTCTATTCAATTTCACTGTTTGTGAAGATTGACCAAAATAAAGAAATAAATTCACTTTTTACTGTCCAAAACATTGAAATAGATAAATTTTACTATTTCACATTTGTTGTTTTGATTGACTTTGGGGTAGTATGATGTGGTCAACTATTTTTTAATTCAATAATTTTTCATTGTTTTTTAGTTCACTATTTTTTATTATTTTTGAGTTCACTATTTTTAAGTTTAGTTCACTGTTTTTGAATTCAGTAATTTTTTATTGTTTTTTAGTTTAATAGTTTTTTATTATTTTTGAGTTCATTATTTTTCACTATTTTTTCATTATTTTTGAGCTTGACTAGTTTTTTTACTATTTTGGGTGGTGGGTGGTGGGTGGTGGTGGGTGGCGACGATGATGCGTGATGGTGGGTGGTTGGCTAGTTTTTCATTGTTTTTTGTGGTGAATGGTAGTGATTGGCGGCGATGGTGGGTGGTGTAGTGGATTATGTAGTGGGTGGTGACTGTTGCGATGTTGGGTGGTTGGTTAGTTTTTTATTGATTTGGGTGGCAAATGGAGGTGGTTGACAGCGATAGTGGATGGTGGTAGCGATGACAAATGGAGTGGTGGACAATTTTATTGTTTTAGGTGCTAGGTGGTGGTGGTGGTGGTTGGCGACGATGGTGAGTGGTGGCGGTTGGCGATGATGATACATGGTGGGAGGTGGTTGGCTAGTTTTTTGCTGTTTTAGGTGATGGTGTCTGGTGGTGTTGGTTTACAGCAATGGTGGATGGCAAGTGATAGTTGGTGGACGATAGTGGATGGTGGTGGTTGGCAACGACGATGGGTAATGGCAGTTGGCGGCTGGCAGGTGGTGGTGGTGGCAATGGGTGGAGGTTAGCGGCGATGGTGGATGGTTATGGGTGGTGGTGGCCGGCGGGTGATGATGGGTGGCGCGTGGTGGTCGGTGGATGGCAGTGGATGGTGGTGGTTGGTGGCGATGGTGGGTGGTTAATGGCAATAGTGGGATGGTGGTGGCAGGTGGGGATGGTGGGTAGTGGCGATGGGTAGCGGCGGCGGCGATGGATGATGATGGTGGCAGGTGTCAGGTGGGTGGCGGTGGCGATGGGTGATTGTGGTGGTGATGACGTTGGGGTGATTATAGGAGTGGTAATCGATATAAATATTAGATAATGGTGAAGATTATTAAATAAGCTCCTTCATTAATGGTATTTTTGTTAAGATTGATTTTATAGACTTTTGGCCTTAAATATGTAAAGACTGGACCTAAAGCCGAAGAAGTCACTCGGGGTGGAGCTCTCACCAAATTTCCCTTTAGTTTATTGCCCTATCGTTCGTGGGATAATTTCTGAATTTCAGAGAAATGATGCACTCCTCTTTAGTTACCCTTGCAGTGAAGGTTTCATACTCTCAACAGACACTATAAAAAAGATTGGAAGAATTATGCCATCAAAGGCGAGGAAAACAAAGTATTTGAGATTTTGTTCGCACAGANGGTGGTGGTGGCAATGGGTGGAGGTTAGCGGCGATGGTGGATGGTTATGGGTGGTGGTGGCCGGCGGGTGATGATGGGTGGCGCGTGGTGGTCGGTGGATGGCAGTGGATGGTGGTGGTTGGTGGCGATGGTGGGTGGTTAATGGCAATAGTGGGATGGTGGTGGCAGGTGGGGATGGTGGGTAGTGGCGATGGGTAGCGGCGGCGGCGATGGATGATGATGGTGGCAGGTGTCAAGTGGGTGGCGGTGGCGATGGGTGATTGTGGTGGTGATGACGTTGGGGTGATTATAGGAGTGGTAATCGATATAAATATTAGATAATGGTGAAGATTATTAAATAAGCTCCTTCATTAATGGTATTTTTGTTAAGATTGATTTTATAGACTTCTGGCCTTAAATATGTAAAGACTGGACCTAAAGCCGAAGAAGTCACTCGGGGTGGAGCTCTCACCAAATTTCCCTTTAGTTTATTGCCCTATCGTTCATGGGATAATTTCTGAATTTCAGAGAAATGATGCACTCCTCTTTAGTTACCCTTGCAGTGAAGGTTTCATACTCTCAACAGACACTATAAAAAAGATTGGAAGAATTATGCCATCAAAGGCGAGGAAAACAAAGTATTTGAGATTTTGTTCGCACAGACATCCTGACAAATTATACTACTAATAGAGCAATATAGATTATATACGAATAACACGACAATAGGGCCTAGGCATACTAAGGAATGCATTTAGAAAATGAAACCACCAATGAGAATATTCACTTGCCTGATCCAGATTAGAAAGACTGTTCGGATCCTTGCTAAGGGTTTCATAGATTACTCTTAAATTGTCTCCTGCTGCAGTTTCTCGGAACTTTAGCAGATCAACAACGTATAAAGCACTGCAGGTGGAATGCCATGTGTAAGGTTAATGGCCCTCTCGAGAGAAACAGAATTTACTGTGACTGGTGGCCTCTGATCTTACCTTATATGATATGGTCTTCCTCGTAAATGTTCCTTCCAAAAACCCTGTTCAAAAAAATTAAAGAACACGGGCAGCAAACAATGCATATATTACTCATGAAGCAAGAAAGAAACGAACAAAATATATGGAATGAAACAATAGAGGCATATTTACTTGTTTCCAAAATCGGTAGCCATCCATATCTTTATTGTTGTCACAAAAAGGTGTATACCCATAAGGTCGCCCTCCTAAATCCATATCATAGAGTTCTCCCATGTCTGCCCTGACTATTTGGTCTGCATCAACAAATATAACCTGCAGACATATATGTTACACAGTGTTATAGCAAGTCACAGATAAGTAAAAAGATGGATGAGCAATTGCGTAACACAATCTTTTAGAAAACCTTCTCCAGTGCAAGGGGGAAAATAACATCAAGGAAAAGGATTTTATATGCCCATATGATTCTCTGCTTCTCTTTCTGTTTATGCAACCAAGTAGGCCATTTGTAGGTAATTAATTCATACTCAAAGCCATATTCCTTAGCCATATGCGGAATTACATACTGCATAACAAGCAACAAAGAAGAAGATTTGCAAGTTAGATGATTCAAGAATTTTTGCACGTCCATCTTGAATGAAAAAATATAGAAGTTAAAAGCAACAGAAGGAGTAGATTGCAAGTACAATGGTAAAACCTTGAACTGGGGAGAAAGATAGTTCTTTATAAACCAGAACTTTACTGGTCGACGTGTATTATTCAGNGATTGGCGGCGATGGTGGGTGGTGTAGTGGATTATGTAGTGGGTGGTGACTGTTGCAATGTTGGGTGGTTGGTTAGTTTTTTATTGATTTGGGTGGCGAATGGAGGTGGTTGACAGCGATAGTGGATGGTGGTAGCGATGACAAATGGAGTGGTGGACAATTTTATTGTTTTAGGTGGTAGGTGGTGGTGGTGGNAGCACACTTAGCATCATAATTTTCAGAAAGCGTTCATATCTGCAGAAATAATGGCACAGAGTTATTAAATATAGAAAGAAATCACANAGCACACTTAGCATCATAATTTTCAGAAAGCGTTCATATCTGCAGAAATAATGGCAGAGTTATTAAATATAGAAAGAAATCATAAGTTCAGGAACAAAAACAAAAGATAAAAAGCTACAAGAAATTGAAAATAAAGAAGCTATTTTTATAACAGGAATTCTAAATTTCAGCCAAATTCAGACAAATATCATCCGTGCCTAAGAAAACAAAAAATCAAGTAAAGCATAAAATCCTACATCCATGACACTACAGAAAATAGAATATTTAACTAATACTGCTGGTTTTGCACTGCACAAATTTCTATTGAAAGGAAGACAAGTTACAAAGAAATGAAGCAAAGGAAAACTGAAACAACTCTCATCTTATTAAATTGCTCTAGTTTCACGAAGTAGTTTGTCTAAAGAAAAGAGTTAAAACCATAATACAAGATGGTACTTTAACGTCCATGATTTCCTCTATTGACACAATATAATAACTCTTTCAAGCACGTTTGTCTAGAGTCCTGTGATCACTCGCTAAAATGGAACAAAATATGAGAAACAATTNTCAAGCACGTTTGTCTAGAGTCCTGTGATCACTCGCTAAAATGGAACAAAATATGAAAAACAATTAATGTNATTTCCTCTATTGACACAATATAATAACTCTTTCAAGCACGTTTGTCTAGAGTCCTGTGATCACTCGCTAAAATGGAACAAAATATGAGAAACAATTGGAAACACCAGCTCACAGAATAAAATTTTGAATAGAATGGCTATGAAAAGCAGAGGACCACAGAAAGAATAGAGAATTAAGAAAAGGGAAAAGAACTTACAAGTGCCCAGAAGCAACAGAAAATATATTGATTGTTTTCCCACGTCGCCCACTGTTTCCTTGCTCCTAGAGGCAATGCAAGTTAGGCTTATTAATTTAAGAATTAAGGGTGATTGACGGCACATGATTTACATGGAAATTATATGATGCAACATGCATGCATATGCTCCCATTAATGGTTATAAATAAATAATCACCACTGAAGTGCCTTCACCCTTTTGTGAGTGCTCACTGCCGCCTACCAATCCAGTAGCCCATTTCAGGAAATTAGTGTTCCAACTTTTCAGATTGCCCTGTAAAACATTAAAAAGGATGCTGAAGGTGAAACTTTCAAAGGCATCATTAAAATTTGTTTCCTGATTTAATCCTTGAAGGAAGGAAACTCAAAAAACAGAAAAAAAAAAAAAAAAAAAAAGGGCTGACCTTTTTCTTCTCTTGAGAATGGTCATCATCATCAGAAGAAACCAGCAACTTCTCCTGTTCTTTGCCCTTTTTCTTCACCACTGCCAAGTGAACTAGTTTACCTCGCAAATCATCTATAGTGATACGCTTTGACGAAGGCATGTCTTGACTACCATCATCCTTATCTTCTCTCAGAATATAGAGATCAGAACTCCTCCCTGGAGCCAGCTGCAGATACCAAACCCCGGGAAATACTTTCATTTGCCAATAACCCAGATTTGCCATGACAAGGGTATCCACTAGGTGCGGTGTATTTTTAGTTCCAAGGATCAGCTGAAGGCCTCGGGGAGGTTCATGATCCTTCTCTGTACAGTGACCTGGTCATAATTGCTTACCAATTAGAATGATAAACTACTGCTGGTTTATTGTAGACTATCATTGAGTTTGACAATAATTACATGCAAACGTCAACTATAAATATACTCTCCAAGGAACAGAAGTTACCAGTAAGAACAAGAGCTTCAAGTTCAAATTCTGCTTGCAATGTCCTTATGTTGCCCAGGTTCTCAAGCAATATATTATCCAGGTCATGGCTGAAAAATTTAATGACAAAAGAAGAAGTGGACATATAACAAGTTAAGAGAGTAACCCATTGCAAAATAATTAAAAATTTCTAAATATGTACACAGCAACATTTCAGGTAGTTTGCAAGCCAGAAAGAAGTATACATAGCATTTACAGGCTCGAGAAGCCAAGGCTCCGGAACATCCAGATTCATGGTGAGGGTTTTGGACAGTGGCATATTTGCAAAGAATGCTTTAGGGCCATATACTGTATAATCAGTACTGCTGAAGTCATCCTGTAAAATTATGGCAAAATAAGATACCACACAAAGGAAGTCAACTAAAGGAGCTATAAGGGACAGATAAATTGGGGATACCATTGTGGGTACTACGTATCGGTAGTAATTCTTCAAAGGAAGATCAACAAGGGAACTCTGTCAAGAAAACCTAGAATATTAGGTTCGTCAAAGACAGAGTTTTGGAAAATGAGATTAAAAGCAACATTTTCAAAACAAGTGACAAAGAATGTTTACTTTTTTTTATTAATTTTTTTTTTATAAGAGTATATTTTGTAAAAAAAAAATGAAGAGAAAGAAGCACATAGCTGAGAATGATCATGCCAAACACTTCAATATACAGACTAATGTATCAACTCATACAAGAAAAGCACATGGAAAATTAAGGGTTTCATTTTTTATGGCAGGAATATGACCTAATGGTCTTAAATTGGCACTCTATTGTAGATCAGGCAAACAACTTTGTTAATCACAAAAATATCCCACACAAACTGCCAGTTTGAGAAAAAAATGAGATGGCGAATGTTGAATCAAAGTCAACTTCTTACTCCATAATCAATGGAACCTTATAAAAGCAACAACATTATGGAGAATTAAATAAGAAAAACAATATCAACTATTTGCAAAGAGGAAAGAAAAACTTGCTTTCTCTTTCTTTGCTTCGAGGACGCATGTCATTTTGACAGTTCGATGCACGATAAATGGTTTAACTTACAAAGAGTCTCAGCTTTTTCCGTATAATTCGGAGGGCACTTATACATATCGGTCACGGCGTCGCGGCGCGATATCAGGCGGTATGCTCAAAACACTAGATAGAGGCTCCAAAAAAATCATGAAAAATTCTAAAAAATATAATTAACAGCATTCATTCATCATATGGTCAAAATACATCAACTAACATATTAAACATAGTTAAAATACATTATAAGGGCGTTACCGAAAATATGTGTTATCAATAGTGTTAAATATAAGAACATACCCAATCAAAATTAATTTATGTCCTATTTTATATCAATAATAAAGCTTAATAAAATATAGTAATTTAATACGTGTAAGTCATAAGTAGACCTACATTACCGATATAAGAAATAAAGTACATTATTAGAATTTGTTTAGGCGTCTTAGGACCAAAAAGGAATATACCATAATATATAACAAAACTTATTAAAAAAATATTTGTGCTAGACATTTATTAAGTTATTAATAAAAACATACTGAAAATATTACAAATTAGAAAAAAAAAATTAAAAAGAGTAAAGGACCCTTCAAAAGAGTCGTGTGAATGCAAGGGGAGAACTTCACACGACTTCGTCTGTGAGTGAGTGTGTGAGAGAGAGAGAGGAGAACGAGAGAGAGAAGACTCAAGGGAAGAAGCGACAACACAGGGGATTGAACGCTTGGCTCTATGAATCGCAATAGTTTCGCAAAGCAGAAAAGGGCTCTCACAACAATTTTTCTAGATGTTACAGGTTTTTCGTAAAAATTGGTTTAATTTCTTCCTTCTGCTGGCAAACATGGACTAATTAGGTTTGTAATTGGAAGATTGCATATGATTCTGTGATTTAGGGTTGGAAGATTTAGGGTTTAATTTACTTCTTCCCTTTTGCCTCTTTTTTGACATTTTTCTAGTGTTTAAGATCTGTCAATTGGTTTTGAGGACATCGGTTCAACTCATATATGACTCGTCCGATTCAAGCGAGTTACATCTAATTTGTACTGATATTGCCGAGTTATGACCGAGTCGGAACCGATTCATGTGAACTCGGGATATTTGCATTGCGTAACTCATTATTGGTTCGGCGGTGGCCGAGTCGTATCAGACTTGGCCTATATTTTGAATCATGATCGCAAATAGAAGCACGTTAGAGCCATCCCACTTCAATGGAAAAAGAAAAAAATATGACCAAAGAAGAAAAGAGGAAGATTGAAACGTGGGCTTTGGGTTCTCCACGCAAAAAGGTTGCCACTTCACCCAAAAAAATAACACCCACCACAACCCAAGAGAAAAGCGAAAATTGAAAACAACAACTAGGCACAAATATAATAGGATTTGCGCCATAAAAAACTGCCAGACAATGATGGACAACATTTTGTTGTCCTCTTCTTGTATCCTTCCTTTTCCTTAACAATTACCATTTCTTAGGGATGTTTACTCTAGGCTTTATGGCTAACTCATATAACACAAAAAAAATAATAAAATATTAAAGGCCACTTGTAAATGCAACTCATATTTAAAAATAATAACTCAATCTCGACGCAGCTAAGCTATAGATCTCCAAAATCAAATAAGCTCTTCCAGATAATAGAAATGTATTGAGTTAACATGCAAACAAAAGACAGTTCTAACAATATATTTTCTGTTATTCCAAGATTGGCTTACCATAAAAGTAGTGAAGATATTTTAAGCATTACTAACACCAACGTAAGCAAAGGAGAATAAACTCACCAGTGGATTAAGAACAAGCCTCATACTTGGCTGAATGCATTTCGACAATACCCGAAGAAGTGAAGACAACTTTTGACCAGAAGGACTCAAGGGATCAACAACAGCATCAATGTGTATGCTAGAATTCTCATTATTCAAAACAACAGCACTGTGCACATCCAAAAGAACAAAAGTTGAAATTGCCTCAAGGGAAGCATAGTTCGAACATAAAGAAATAATCATTCCAAGTCCCAAGAAATAACCCATAAAAGCATGTTGTGTAGCAAAGAAATAAGTCCAATAGACCACTGCAACATGGTCAAAAAATATTCCCCTAGAAACAATAAAGCAAAAGGTAGTATGTTCCAACAAGTCATTTTAAAGGATCAAAATTTCGTTTCGGTGCATTGTTTCGGTCACCTAAGAAACGAAAACGTTTCGACGTGTTTCAAAAACATTTCATCCAGTTTCAGAAACATAATGAAAAAAAATAAAAACTTTAATAATTATTTTTTCAAACATTGGTCGAAATAAACCAACGTTTCTTGAAATAGTATGAAACATTTTGAAACAGTTGTACAAATGCATTGAAATATTATAAAACACCTTAAAACATTATGAAACAACTCAAAATATTAGAATTTAGATTTCACCACTGATTCGTTTTGGTCTCCTTAAAAACAGAAACATTTCAGATATTTTGACCGTTTCGAAACAAAATTTTGATCCTTGATTTTAGTACTTTCCAACAAATGGAAGAATGATTGCCGGATACAAATTCAATGTTAAAGTCCATATACATAAAGCAGCAGCAAGGTCATAAATAAATAACAAACCAAGATCCATAGAACCATTTTGTACCTGTATTTTTGTCCTCATTTCCATTTTAGGATGTACCCAACAAATTCCCCCATTTGACAGTTAGAATCTATTTTTCAGTGCTTTTTTGGAATCTAACCTTTTAAATTGTGAATTCAAAAGAGAAATAGAGTAAAGTTTTCCCACGTCCATTATTTAAACGGGGCAGATATGTTAGCTAGAAATCGTATAATCCAAAGTCAAAACATTGAACAGGTCTCAAAAAAAATTATGCAAAGCCTAATGGTGCTATTTCTGAGGGACGGAGGGACCATCTGATTTGTCAATCCAATGTCTTCTAAGATGATTACAATAGCTATTGGCCCACAAATTGAAATGACCAACAACAAATGTTACATTTGCATAGCTGCTTGCATTTGACAATTGGCTTTCGTGTAATTCTAACAAGGAAATCAGTCCACAGACATCAAAGCAAGCTCAGAGTTAAAAATGGCAGTAAACGCTGGACAGAAAGTTGAATTCATGAGAGTAAGGGTGGACAAAAAAGGTAATATTTACAGGGGGAAATCTACAAGATACAATCCCAAATTCATACTGCAGGTGAATAAAGATGGTTGAAAGCCTAGAAGGACAAGGATGGAGACATTCAAACTGCTTTTAGTTATTAAACTACAAAGATGGCATGGAATAAAAAATATAGTATAACAAGGTGTGCTTCCTGTTTATTCAAAAAGCTCTGACTTTATCAATAAAGAGGCTATCTCTTGACTGGAATGTGCATCTCGAGCTGTTTTAGTGGACCAATCCATAATGTAGGGGTGAAAGGCGTAATAATGCAATTGTCTTGAGGAAAGTATCTAAAACACATCATCCAGTTTGGTCCTCATTGAGTGGGTGTGCTGGATGAGGTGAACTTCATACCGATATTTGGCTTTGTTTGCAAAAAATAGCTGCCCCCAGTTTGCGACACAGTTTTTACCACCACATGTGGCCCCTAGTAGCCTCAGTATAATATGACTTAAATAGTGTTAAATAGTTGGATTCAATTAAGTGTTTTGTGAAGAGTGTTGGGCTCTCTGGTTTTTAGGTTCTTGTTTGTTGTAATGTTCTTTCTCTCTTTCCATCTTCTTTTTGCAATGCTCTTTCACCTTGATGTGCTTTCAGAAAGCAATTTTGAACTGCCTTGATTGCTTTACCTCCTTGCATTTACATTCCACTAGAAAATTTTTCATATGTAGGTTATATGCTAGTGAAATCATCACCTTAGCCATTGAAAACCAAAAAACATGATTCCAGGTAAGAAATAATGAGCCCTGGTCTACAAACTATCTGCAAATCAATTTCACGGAAAGTAGCCTGTACCTGTATTCAGCGCTCAAAATTTCAAAGCGGGCACTTTCAGAACTTCGATCACGCATAGCAATTGAAGATGAAATGACCATGATGACATCACTGATAAATTTGCTGCAAAATAAAATTTTGTCATGCAAAGAAAAATCCTATCACCAATACAGACAACAATGCTTATCTAAAAAAGATGAAACTTGAACTCAGGAAGTGGATCAGACTAACTACTTTATTTATCTGTAAATAAACAAGTTAATGAAAAGACAGGAGATGATCACACTGGCATCAGACTCGCACAAAGATAGAAGAGTGAGTTTGATCAAGATCCTGAAAGCAGTGGCACCGAATGAAATGTTTATATATATCAAATGAAGAGAGCATAGATAGTGTTTTATAGAATCACTTGTGCAACACCTGGACAAATCAGATCATCTTGTACATATGTATGCACATTCACAACGAAAGAGAATTTATAGAAATTGCAAACAAGCAAATTGTCATTTTGATTAAGTAGCAAATTGCAATCTAGACAATTTGCATAAATATTCCTCAGATTGGACTTGATCGACAATCAACTAACATAAAACCTTTAAGGTCAAAATTATTAAGGAAAATCCATGTCAATCTAAAAATTTCTATAGGCAATTTTTCCTATTGCTGCAAAATCCATAATTTAATTGCCTTCACCAATAATGCCAATGACAAGGAATTGCGAGTGATGAAGCCCATATTTCGAGTAGAATTACAGATCTGGGCAGATCGTAAATTATTATGTGACTTTTTGTCTGCATTTTTCTGGTAACCAAAAGTCTTAAATATGCTAGTTGTCTCCTTCCATTAATGCAGAGGGAAGTGTCCAATGTGCTACCGGTCATAGCTGTTAGTATCGTACAATACGCAATATGATACATACGATATGTTTCGATACATGAAGAAAATGATATGTATCGCTTATGTGTATCAGTTTGCACCATATCGTGTGATACACAATACAATACACCTGATACAAGACGATACATATACGTCGTCCGATAAGGGGGTGAAACAGATAAAAAAAAAAAAATTAACGTCATTTCACTATCTATAGTTTTAAAAAATAAAAGTCTTTTTTTTTATTCGTTCCATCGCATGAACAAATAGTTTGATTATTAAAAATATCCTCTTATAGTTATTTTAGATGTTAAAACTAGAACTAGAACTCTCTAAATTTTAATATTGTTAAATTATGTTAGAAGCTTCAATACTTAGATTGTTAATTTTTTGTTTTAGTCCTTAAAGTCTCTTTAAATTATTTTGTGTGAGAAATTTGTGGTGCAATAAAATGTTATTATGACATTTTTTCATAGGTATATGTATTTTTTAATATCTTTTATAAAAATGTGCATATCTTACGATCTATCGGCATCCTAAGATTGTATTCCTATATGAGTCAACTCTGGGACTAATGTAAATTATCTTTGTTTGAAATGATATATTAATTTCAGAGAATTGTTCTTTGCAGCCCTTCTAGATTTTTTCCAGCCCTTTTGGGCTTTTTTTTTTGTTTTTTGACAGCAGTTCCAGGCTTACAGCTTCTCTCTGAATCTGAACTGCATTAGCAACCGATCAGCAGTTTTGCATCTGATGTAGCTGTCACCATTGATTTGGGATGAGCAAATTCATTACACAACAGCATTCCATGAATGTCAAATACATGAGAAGCTCAAAGTAGCATCAGTCATGCAAAGAGATTGCAGGAAACTAATGGGGATGACTTAGTCACTCGCAACGGTTTTTGTTTACGCATCTAGAATAAGAGTGTGAGAGAGACGAAAAGAACTGCATATACATAATGAAGTTATAGAAAGGGTATGAACCCATGGAAACACATAAACATTGACAAAAAAATGAATCTGAATGTGCCCTTTAGGACCCCATGACCATAGACGCTTGCCTTTCCTATCAATGCATAGAACAGTTTCACAAAATACCCTAAAAGGTAATGTCCAACTACAGTAATATAGGCGAAACCACATTCCACTAGAAGAAACCCACCCAGCGACATCAAGTAACAAAAAAAAGGAACAATTAACAACTAATCCAGTGATAGCTTGACTAACAAGTCGAGCATCTACTAGATTGATGTTAATGGCGATTCAAACATGGAAGCAAAATCTAGTCGGTGTGAACGCAATTGCAGCAACCTCAATAAAGCTCCCTGTGCCTTATCTGCATACTGCTGTCCCAATACACTTGACCAAGATAAGGTTGTAAGCTTGGCTACCTGCTTCTCCCAGTTCCTCAAATATTTTGAGTAGGGCCCTAAATCTTCTACAAACATTACAATGCGAAGTAGAAAGTCCATCCTTCTTAAGATGTTTGAAGTTGAACATCCCGATAGTAACGATGCCACCATTGATCTTAAGAAGTTTGAAGTTGAACATCCAATACTAAAGATGCCACCTCTCTTACCTAAGTAGGAATGGTGGTGGTAAAACCATGTGATTGGATTCCTGTCTCCTATGGAGCTAAATCATTGTCTTCAGCCCCGTCCCCACACTCCTATCCCCAAATAAACAACACTACGATGCAAATACGAGACAATGTGTAGTTAATCCATCCATTTCACTAATGCAGCCTCGTTCTTATCTCTTTCAGAATAAAGCTAAAGTTTCTTTCTAGAGTCAAAAGGTCCCTTCTTAAGAGTACCATTCCAGATTAGTCCCAAAACTAAATGAACCTAGCAGAATGGGTTGCATATGGAAAAATAAATTATAGAAGGGTGTACCAACACAAAAGTAGGTAACCCGACCACGTTGGAAGGGTCAAAAAAGGCTTCTATCAGGGTAGGAGCAGGTCTGAAAGAGGTGANAATTGCCTCAAGGGAAGCATAGTTCGAACATAAAGAAATAATCATTCCAAGTCCCACAAAGTAGAAATAACCCATAAAAGCATGTTGTGTAGCAAAGAAATAAGNATGTAGTTTCATTATGAGCAGACCCCTGCTATTATGTTGAATTCCCCGAAGTGTCGTCAATGATCAAAATATCATTTCGAAACAGTCGAAATGTCCAAAACGTTTCCGTTTTCAAGGAGATCGAAACGAAACAGTGATAGAATTAAAATTCTAATATTTTGAGGTATTCCATAATTTTTCGAGATATATTATAATATTTCAATGCATTTGCACAATTATTTTGGAATGTTTCAAGGTATTTCATGATATTTTGATATATTTCAATCAATATTTTAGAAAAATAATTCTTAAATTTTTTATTTTTTTCATTATATTTCCGAAACGGATCGAAACCGAAACACATCGAAACGTCTCCGTTTCCTAGGTGACCGAAACAATACACTGAAACGAAATTTTGATCCTTAAGTGTCGTACATTTATGTGTCTCTAGGTGTAGGGAATTTGAGCTCATTGTTATCATGATAGTGAAGCCTCCACTTGTCTTCCCTGCTCCCCACAAATCCAACAACTCCACTGCTAGAGGACACGAGTCATCACTGCCAAAGCACAGTCCTGGCCTCCCACTTTGCCATCACCTGTTTACTCTNAAACATGGAAGCAAAATCTAGTCGGTGTGAACGCAATTGCAGCAACCTCAATAAAGCTCCCTGTGCCTTATCTGCATACTGCTGTCCCAATACACTTGACCAAGATAAGGTTGTAAGCTTGGCTACCTGCTTCTCCCAGTTCCTCAAATATTTTGAGTAGGGCCCTAAATCTTCTACAAACATTACAATGCGAAGTAGAAAGTCCATCCTTCTTAAGATGTTTGAAGTTGAACATCCCGATAGTAACGATGCCACCATTGATCTTAAGAAGTTTGAAGTTGAACATCCAATACTAAAGATGCCACCTCTCTTACCTAAGTAGGAATGGTGGTGGTAAAACCATGTGATTGGATTCCTGTCTCCTATGGAGCTAAATCATTGTCTTCAGCCCCGTCCCCACACTCCTATCCCCAAATAAACAACACTACGATGCAAATACGAGACAATGTGTAGTTAATCCATCCATTTCACTAATGCAGCCTCGTTCTTATCTCTTTCAGAATAAAGCTAAAGTTTCTTTCTAGAGTCAAAAGGTCCCTTCTTAAGAGTAACATTCCAGATTAGTCCCAAAACTAAATGAACCTAGCAGAATGGGTTGCATATGGAAAAATAAATTATAGAAGGGTGTACCAACACAAAAGTAGGTAACCCGTCCACGTTGGAAGGGTCAAAAAAGGCTTCTATCAGGGTAGGAGCAGGTCTGAAAGAGGTGATAAAAGCTAGATTGGATCACAACAGGATCTGGGTTTAAGAGAAACCAACATATCTCTTTCTGACTATGTAGTTTCATTATGAGCAGACCCCTGCTATTATGTTGAATTCCCCGAAGTGTCGTCAAGGATCAAAATATCATTTCGAAACAGTCGAAATGTCCAAAACGTTTCCGTTTTCAAGGAGATCGAAACGAAACAGTGATAGAATTAAAATTCTAATATTTTGAGGTATTCCATAATTTTTCGAGATATATTATAATATTTCAATGCATTTGCACAATTATTTTGGAATGTTTCAAGGTATTTCATGATATTTTGATATATTTCAATCAATATTTTAGAAAAATAATTCTTAAATTTTTTATTTTTTTCATTATATTTCCGAAACGGATCGAAACCGAAACACATCGAAACGTTTCCGTTTCCTAGGTGACCAAAACAATACAATNTTTTTTCATTATATTTCCGAAACGGATCGAAACCGAAACACATCGAAACGTTTCCGTTTCCTAGGTGACCGAAACAATACACTGAAACGAAATTTTGATCCTTAAGTGTCGTACATTTATGTGTCTCTAGGTGTAGGGAATTTGAGCTCATTGTTATCATGATAGTGAAGCCTCCACTTTTCTCCGGTCTTCCCTGCTCCCCACAATTCCAACAACTCCACTGCTAGAGGACACGAGTCATCACTGCCAAAGCAAAGTCCTGGCCTCCCACTTTGCCATCACCTGTTTNAAGAAAAATCCTATCACCAATACAGACAACAATGCTTATCTAAAAAAGATGAAACTTGAACTCAGGAAGTGGATCAGACTAACTACTTTATTTATCTGTAAATAAACAAGTTAATGAAAAGACAGGAGATGATCACACTGGCATCAGACTCGCACAAAGATAGAAGAGTGAGTTTGATCAAGATCCTGAAAGCAGTGGCACCGAATGAAATGTTTATATATATCAAATGAAGAGAGCATAGATAGTGTTTTATAGAATCACTTGTGCAACACCTGGACAAATCAGATCATCTTGTACATATGTATGCACATTCACAACGAAAGAGAATTTATAGAAATTGCAAACAAGCAAATTGTCATTTTGATTAAGTAGCAAATTGCAATCTAGACAATTTGCATAAATATTCCTCAGATTGGACTTGATCGACAATCAACTAACATAAAACCTTTAAGGTCAAAATTATTAAGGAAAATCCATGTCAATCTAAAAATTTCTATAGGCAATTTTTCCTATTGCTGCAAAATCCATAATTTAATTGCCTTCACCAATAATGCCAATGACAAGGAATTGCGAATGATGAAGCCCATATTTCGAGTAGAATTACAGATCTGGGCAGATCGTAAATTATTATGTGACTTTTTGTCTGCATTTTTCTGGTAACCAAAAGTCTTAAATATGCTAGCTGTCTCCTTCCATTAATGCAGAGGGAAGTGTCCAATGTGCTACCGGTCATAGCTGTTAGTATCGTACAATACGCAATATGATACATACGATATGTTTCGATACATGAAGAAAATGATATGTATCGCTTATGTGTATCAGTTTGCACCATATCATGTGATACACAATACAATACACCTGATACAAGACGATACATATACGTCGTCCGATAAGGGGGTGAAATAGATAAAAAAATTAACGACGTCATTTCACTATCTATAGTTTTAAAAAATAAAAGTCTTTTTTTTTATTCGTTCCATCGCATGAACAAATAGTTTGATTATTAAAAATATCCTCTTATAGTTATTTTAGATGTTAAAACTAGAACTAGAACTCTCTAAATTTTAATATTGTTAAATTATGTTAGAAGCTTCAATACTTAGATTGTTAATTTTTTGTTTTAGTCCTTAAAGTCTCTTTAAATTATTTTGTGTGAGAAATTTGTGGTGCAATAAAATGTTATTATGACATTTTTTCATAGGTATATGTATTTTTTAATATCTTTTATAAAAATGTGCATATCTTACGATCTACCGGCATCCTAAGATTGTATTCCTATATGAGTCAACTCTGGGACTAATGTAAATTATCTTTGTTTGAAATGATATATTAATTTCAGAGAATTGTTCTTTGCAGCCCTTCTAGATTTTTTCCAGCCCTTTTGGGCTTCTTTTTTTTTGTTTTTTGACCGCAGTTCCAGGCTTACAGCTTCTCTCTGAATCTGAACTGCATTAGCAAGANTTTCTGACGAGAAGCCATAGAGCTGTAATCGAATTGTGGAAGAAATTAGGGTTTGTGGGTTCCTATGGAGAGCTCAGCCACTGAGGTCACTGTTGCTATAGCCAGTTCTGGTGAGGCTTCTACTATTGATTGGATTGGTGTTAATTTTCAGCAGTCGTTTGTGGACTTCCTATGGCTATTTTCTCACTTTTTTTCGATGTGTTTGATTGTGATATATTAATTCCCAAGGATTGAACCCTGTTTCGATCAATGTTGGATCTCTGTTCTTGTGTTGAATTTGTTGGTGGGCTTATTTTGGTTTTTATTTTTTGCCAAGTTTTATCCACTCCCATATCCGTCTTGAATCCCTATGTATCAAAAATAGAAAACAACGCATTTCATTGGNAAAGGGTATGAACCCATGGAAACACATAAACATTGACAAAAAAATGAATCTGAATGAGCCCTTTAGGACCCCATGACCATAGACGCTTGCCTTTCCTATCAATGCATAGAACAGTTTCACAAAATACCCAAAAAGGTAATGTCCAACTACAGTAATATAGGCGAAACCACATTCCACTAGAAGAANCCTTCCATTAATGCAGAGGGAAGTGTCCAATGTGCTACCGGTCATAGCTGTTAGTATCGTACAATACGCAATATGATACATACGATATGTTTCGATACATGAAGAAAATGATATGTATCGCTTATGTGTATCAGTTTGCACCATATCATGTGATACACAATACAATACACCTGATACAAGACGATACATATACGTCGTCCGATAAGGGGGTGAAACAGATAAAAAAAAAAAAATTAACGTCATTTCACTATCTATAGTTTTAAAAAATAAAAGTCTTTTTTTTTATTCGTTCCATCGCATGAACAAATAGTTTGATTATTAAAAATATCCTCTTATAGTTATTTTAGATGTTAAAACTAGAACTAGAACTCTCTAAATTTTAATATTGTTAAATTATGTTAGAAGCTTCAATACTTAGATTGTTAATTTTTTGTTTTAGTCCTTAAAGTCTCTTTAAATTATTTTATGTGAGAAATTTGTGGTGCAATAAAATGTTATTATGACATTTTTTCATAGGTATATGTATTTTTTAATATCTTTTATAAAAATGTGCATATCTTACGATCTACCGGCATCCTAAGATTGTATTCCTATATGAGTCAACTCTGGGACTAATGTAAATTATCTTTGTTTGAAATGATATATTAATTTCAGAGAATTGTTCTTTGCAGCCCTTCTAGATTTTTTCCAGCCCTTTTGGGCTTTTTTTTTTGTTTTTTGACAGCAGTTCCAGGCTTACAGCTTCTCTCTGAATCTGAACTGCATTAGCAANTCACATCTACATTCAATCATCTCATGCACATCCAAGATGGAAAAATGTTAAAAAAAGAATAAGTACAGGAGGTGAGAAACTCAAATGACACCTAATGAAAACTAAAAGGGGAAAAGGTCACGATTAAATTGGTTATTGCATTATCTTCAAATACACCTCATTAAAACTACAAGTGAAGGCAAAAGGTCATGCCCAATCCAAATAATGGGATTACTAAGAACAGTCCCCCATGCAATTTGTCATAGATAAAATCCTATTGCTTTTATCCCGCCAACACATANGAACTGCATATACATAATGAAGTTATAGAAAGGGTATGAACCCATGGAAACACATAAACATTGACAAAAAAATGAATCTGAATGTGCCCTTTAGGACCCCATGACCATAGACGCTTGCCTTTCCTATCAATGCATAGAACAGTTTCACAAAATACCCTAAAAGGTAATGTCCAACTACAGTAATATAGGCGAAACCACATTCCACTAGAAGAAACCCACCCAGCGACATCAAGTAACAAAAAAAAGGAACAATTAACAACTAATCCAGTGATAGCTTGACTAACAAGTCGAGCATCTACTAGATTGATGTTAATGGTGATTCAAACATGGAAGCAAAATCTAGTCGGTGTGAACGCAATTGCAGCAACCTCAATAAAGCTCCCTGTGCCTTATCTGCATACTGCTGTCCCAATACACTTGACCAAGATAAGGTTGTNTAATATTTTAGTAGCTGTTAAAATGTGGGTCAATGAAAAATTAGAGCTTTAACTTTTCAACAGCCAATTAAAATTAGGATATTAATTTTACCTGGCCAACTGGAATGCACTCAAGACAGAAACAGTGCTGCTCTTGAACTCTTCTCTTTTTTTTCCTTACCAGATGGGCTCTCTCACGTGGAGACAACAGCCCTTCCCGTGAGCTACTACCAAGGCTGTTTCTTTTTTTCCCTCTTTTTCTCGAAGACTATCTTCGTCATGATTTCGGCTCATCTATATCTCGAATTTCCAACTCACTCTCTCTATTTTCCACTCTTTCTTTGTAGATTCTCTCTAAATTTCCTAAATCTCTGTGGATTGGTCATTCGATTTTCTGACGAGAAGCCATAGAGCTGTAATCGAATTGTGGAAGAAATTAGGGTTTGTGGGTTCCTATGGAGAGCTCAGCCACTGAGGTCACTGTTGCTATAGCCAGTTCTGGTGAGGCTTCTACTATTGATTGGATTGGTGTTAATTTTCAGCAGTCGTTTGTGGACTTCCTATGGCTATTTTCTCACTTTTTTTCGATGTGTTTGATTGTGATATATTAATTCCCAAGGATTGAACCCTGTTTCGATCAATGTTGGATCTCTGTTCTTGTGTTGAATTTGTTGGTGGGCTTATTTTGGTTTTAATTTTTTGCCAAGTTTTATCCACTCCCATATCCGTCTTGTATCCCTATGTATCAAAAATAGAAAACAACGCATTTCATTGGTAATCGGATACATGCAATCTGTATCCGATATGTATCATTGTGTATCCATCGTGTATTCACATCCGATACGTATCAGATACTGATACTTCAACCTGACCGGAGTATCTGTGCTGTGCTCCCTAGATATCAGCATTGTTTTGCTATTGAGAAAACAATATAAAGACTTGATTTCCCTCATAATCCTAAAGAAACAGAGTTCAGGTTCAATTCTAACTGCTAATGCCTAAAGGGTCCATATCAAACTCACCCTGCCATTAGTGATAACTGCATTGACACCATGTTCAAGCCCAAGTTGCCCGTATAAAAATTGTGCCACCTGCACAACATTGAGAACTGTGAAGGTGAATAGTGTGTCACATCTACATTCAATCATCTCATGCACATCCAAGATGGAAAAATGTTAAAAAAAGAATAAGTACAGGAGGTGAGAAACTCAAATGACACCTAATGAAAACTAAAAGGGGAAAAGGTCACGATTAAATTGGTTATTGCATTATCTTCAAATACACCTCATTAAAACTACAAGTGAAGGCAAAAGGTCATGCCCAATCCAAATAATGGGATTACTAAGAACAGTCCCCCATTCAATTTGTCATAGATAAAATCCTAGTGCTTTTATCCCGCCAACACAGAGTGCTGGGAGGGGTGGACTGGTTATCAACAAAAGCTGTAGGCTTCCAAAAGCAGAAAAATAATTTGCTGCAATTAGCGAACAGATCAGTTTAGATAAAATACAGTTGGCAAAATAAAAAGAACTTATGGTTTGCGTGCATTTGACTATAACAGATCCACGATCCCAAACACAATGCAAAATTACCTTCTTCAAATGACTTTTTAACTTGTCAATGGAAAATACAGAGAGAGCAGATTTATAGCTCTTAGATGGTAGCCCATTTGCATCAGCGAGCTCAATGACTTTTTTGATAAATTCTTGATTGCTTTCAGCAACAACAGAAGATGCAAGCATGTATTCACTCTCATAAAATGAGCACAGTTGATCCAGGAATTCTAACACCTTTTTCTTATGGCTGCAAGATACCAAAGGAAAAGAAAAGTGAAAAGGAGAGAGCGTGGGGAATGCGAAGAGAAACAGAAAGCAATTAAATGACTAACAGCCAAAAAGAAAAAAATTGTTCTAACTGAATAACTCACGAAGCAAAAAACACAAAGTAGTCTCCATTGCAAACTGGACAGACCTATATGAGGATGCAGTGAGTTCAAAAATCTTCATAAAAAGGAGACTGGGTGAATCAGCATCCCGATTGGTATTAAATAACACTCCTAAGCGAGCACTATTAGAACCTGCCATCTGCAACGCAATGCAGGCATATCAACCAAAAGCACAAAAAGAAATACTGAACGTAATGATCAACCACTTTAGTTGCACATACCAGATAGCGTATTCCTTCATGAATCAACTTCACCCCTTTCTTCGAGGAGACGTCAACAGCAAGAAGATGAGTCACAGGCTTCAAATTATCTATAGCTGGAAGGTGGATCCAGGAACCATATGTCAGAAATTCAATGATTTAACAATAACAGGCGGAAGGTGGATCCAGGAACCATATGTCAGAAATTCAATGATTTAACGATAACAGGCGGGAGGTTAATGGTTAAGGTTACAGCTTACATTCAGGAGAGTGCAAGTAGTGGATGTCATTTAGCACTGATTCCTTTCCAAAAATTGATGCAGAGAAAGATATAAATCTTGGTTTGACCTTGCCATTCCCTATAATCTGCATGATTGAAGTCGCATCAAAGAATAAGTGAACAGATAGATATTACACTAAAAAAAGAAGAGTTTTGTATATGCTCATACACACTAAAAAACTGAAGCAAATGAATGTTTCCTTAGGCATCTCAAGAATGCTTTACCTGTGGGTTATATCGCTGAATACCACTTTCAGATAAAAATTTGTCCAGAACATCAGTATGAGAATTTATATGTCCATAGTAAACTTGTTCCTGTATTCTGGGAAGCTCATCGTTCATGGCATTCATTAGAGCCTCCTGAAAACAGTGCACCCAAAAACTTTCTGTCGTCACTTAAATGTGTACCAGAGTTATTATGACTACTCCACATGCGCATCAACAAACTTCTCTTGTTCTTCACACCAAATTGAACTTGAGCACATTGTGACATGAACATATCATAGATCAAACTAAAGTAGGCTTGATAAAAGAAAACTCGAACGACAAAACTACCAGCACTTAAAATTACGTGTCACGTTTAATTTTACCATTATGAATAACAAATCTGCCAACTATTACACATCATGATTGTTTCCTCAGCGGTAGATCTAAGTGCCATTTTGTGCTGGAGATTAATGAGAAACCAATATTTCTTTTTTTTTTGTTCATGAAAAAGGGTTTGAAGGGGCAACCTGGGTGGAACCCCTGCCTGAGCATGACCATAGCAGCCCGAACCCACGAGGGAAGCCCACCAGGCCTAGACGGTGGGAAACAGCAAGCGCCCCCAGAGGAAGGAGAAACCAATATAAACATCCACAATTCCATACATATTGAAAGGGGATTAAATCGCAATGATAAGACCATCTACAGCATTAAATTTCCACACCATGCCAAATTAACATTGGTAATTAAACAAGAATTGATTAGTACCTCATTTGAATCATAGACAAGCCCATTCATCAAAAGACAGCATTGTAGCTTAGCCAAACCAAGCTTAAAAACAAACATAGAGCTCTCCTGAGACAGTTCATTGAAAGTTTGATCCTTCTCCAGTTTTAGTAAAGTATCTTGAGGTGGATCTTTTGCCTTCGGCCTACAAAAAGAGTGTATTGGTAAATCGTTGAATATGGAATGGAACAAACCAAAAAAAATGAGTAATAATCTTCTTGTCTTCTTTTTCCGATGAATTCAAGCATATTGACCTCTATTTGACATAATCATGCAATCAATCAAGAATGTAATTGTTACGTAGTGCAGCAGAAAAATAAAAACATTGTTCATGCACAACTAAGGAACTCATTCACAAATTTTCTCAAAGACTCACAATATTGTTTCTACAAATGCCCCCTCCACGTGGTGAATCTCAGGAGCATCTTCTGCAAAATCGGATGCCTCAAATCGCAATTTATTTACCTGCATTTATGTACAAAATGAGTCTCGGGTACATTGAGATGAACTTAATCATGCTTCCCTGAAGCAAATGGCACACTTGAACAATCAAGTAGATAACGCGTTTGAGAAAATGGCAGGTAAGTAAGAACGTAAGCATGTCCACCAGTGCCACATCCGGTCCCCCCCACCCTTCCCGTGGGGCCTGATGGTCTCAACTGCTAATAATACATCAGATGAACTTTTGTCTTCCATCCTAGGAGTAAATGAATCAATTATAACCAAAACAATACTTGCAATCGTAGATGTACCAAAGCTTTCGAGAAAGACTCTGATGGGTATGGAAGCAACAAAAACGTGTTGCAGTTCGCAACCTGACTATACATGATGTCCAAGAAACAATCAACAAAGCGGTGATACACACAACATACTCCACACTTACAGCCGCAAATATATTAAACACACAGATAATTCAGCATAATTCAGAAGATGCTAAAAAATCCATCCTACTTGACACGACGGGGTCTATCTTCCCAAACTACGAGGATAATGTCAAAAAATGAAACAAAAGCTAATGGCAGAGTGCAGAATAGGCAAGACAGTCAGAAGAAAAGACGGGACCAGAAGGAGCTAACTATTCTCTGGTTTCCTGGTTCTAAGTTCATAAGATGGAAGACCATCAAGTGTATCTAGTCTTGATTCATGGTTGCAACTCACATGTATCTATATAATAAATGGTTTTTGGTCACTAAGTCAGCGACTTCTTGAAAATTTTGGTCTCCTTAATGCAAAATGGTGATTATTTATCAGAAGAAAACAACAAGAGTAGTGTGCATAGCAACAGCAAAACCACTGACTTGCAAGCGAGTGAGAAATGATCACTAGGAAAGTAAAGATAAAGAACTCATACATTGCTCAGAAACTGAAAAGCTGTTTGAATCCCATGATTTTGCTTAATATAGCTGAAAAGACGGATAATCTGCAAGACAGAATTGTCAACAATTCCATTAGCATCACAAGTATTATTTTGTCATACAGGTAATAAATAGGAAACAATTTAAACTCCGACCAAACATCTAAATGTATAAAGATCTGCATGTGAAATACAAATTTAGAAGGAATAGAACATTCACAGATATATGCCAAAAGTGACAGGCCCTTATTTGCAATAAAACAAAAATTGGTTCCCTCAGCTTATTGTCTAAATGCTACATTGGTGAAGCGGATCCTTTAATTGACTATGCTAGGTGGCATAAAGAGTCTCTTTCTCGTCTTAAGTGTCATGTCACTAATAGTCATGTGGTATTATGTGACCACCACATTGAATGTCAATAACCCCAAATAGTAAGGTTCTAAAAGTACAAAAGTATAATAACTGGTGATTAACAACATAAACAATCAATACCGTCAATATGAATAAAGAGTTAATAAATTTTTGTAACACCCTTGGTCCCATTGTGCTCTTTGACCTCATGAGAGATGTCACCACACCTTCAAGGGCCTATCAATTCGTCATGCCAAACACAATGAAGCAGCCCTCCATATTTCCTTCCCTACCTACATCTCCCTAGGACAACCTAACCTCCCAACAACATCTTGAAAGACACTAGCATAAGCGCCCCACCCCAAAAAAAAAAAACTCTGAAAAGAGATAAACACATAATCAGTAACTCACGCATTTGTCTCTTTTTTTTTGGGGGGTGGGGGCAAAGGAAGCACCAATTCCAGTATACCTTCCTTATTTTCCTCAAATTGGCCCCCAATTAAATGGTCTCTCAATTTGTTTCCCAAGCAAAGGATAACACTCTCCTTGGAACTCTCCTTCTATTAAACAATCATCTACTCCAAAACCTTGAGCTTTTAGAAAGGGTGTAACTTAAGTATTTATACTTCAACACACCTCTCACGTACTGGCTAGATTTTGAGCATAGCACGTGAAAATTCTTTTTAATAATTAGAGTGGCGGCGAGATTCGAACACGAGACTTTCTGATCTAATACTATGTTAAATTTTGTATAGAGGCACTGAGGAGCTCTGATACCATGTTAGATTTTGGATGGGTAGACATCGGAGATATGAAATGAGGAAAGATAGGAGACACAAGAATTTATATGGTTCGGCCCATTCAGCCTACATTCAGGGACACAATTGCCCGGGGCTTCCACTCTATTAATATTTAGATTACATAGTGGATTTTTTGTGTATTTGATACAAGGAGATAGCACCCATATTTATAGGGTAAGCTCGGTGCATAAAGTCTTCCTTGCTATAAATACTGGCGGCTATCTTTTGGCTCATTTTTTGCCAAGTCTACTTGGCAACTTGATAAATCTGATCCCATGATCTACGAGACCTCATATCTTCAACAATTCCCCTCAGGTTCGTACACGTACATGTGGAATAAGTGTCCAACTTGAATTGAACAACATAATGATTGCACAAACTGCGACTTCTTTGGAACAACAGAAATTACGGCATTTTAATTGGTCGGTGTTGCGACTGTTCTACAACTTTTCTTGGAAATTGCAATGATTCTATTTGCCCGTGCTGCGATTTTCCTGCTAGTTTCGAAACCAACAAAAATTGTGGCAATTTAATTTGTCGTTGCTGCGACTCTGGCAGAAATTACAACAATGTAATTGCATGGAATTTCTCTTCGCACAAAATTTGCCGATGCTGCAACTGCCCATTGAAATTTGCCAAGTTATGACCGTCTTGAAATTGTTCCCAGAGAGAACATGTGCACTAAAATCGTGTACATGGAATGAACGTCATGCAAACATGAGAGGCACAAAATGTAATAAGACAATAAAAAGGGAAGATTGTTGTAAATGTGAAAGACTTTTACTTAAGCTAAGCTTTTAAAGAAGGTATAACTTAAGTATTTATACTTCAACACCTNAGTATTTGAGGTCTCCCCTACTTTGTCCATTCCGGCAATAGGCAAAGTTTTAAACCTCTACTTATTCATTTCAGAATGGGCGATCAGTGGGGCTCTGGTAAGGGAGCACAACGGTGTACAGAGGCCGGTGTATTGTGTACAAAAGACCCTGCTTGATGCCAAGACCAGATATCTGCCAATGGAAAAGCTTATACAAGCCTTGGTCGTCTCAGCAAGGAAACTTAGACACCATTTTTAGGCCTATCCAATTGAGGTCTTGACAGACAAGCCCCTAAGGCCTATATTTCACAAAGAAGATATGTATGGACGAGTTGCCAAGTGGGCCATGGAGATAAAGTGTTTGAAATAAGCTACAACCCCTGTACTTCCATTGAAGGGCAAATATTTGCTGATTTTATTGTCGAGTTTTGTGCATCTGAGTCTCCTTCGGATGGGAAACTTGCAACTTCTGACCACAACGATGTTTGGAGCTTGCATGTGGACAAATCCTCAAACACAAGGGGGGCAAGAGTGTGTGTAGTCTTGGTCAATTCTAGAGGATTTACAGTGGATCAAGCTATCAGACTTAGATTTAAAGCATCTAAAAATGAGGCCGACTACGAGGCGCTACTGGCTGGACTCGATATCGTATACTTGGTCAAGGCAAGGCACCTACATATTTTCTACCATTCCTAGTTGGTGGTAAATCAAATTAATGGGGACTTTGAGGTCCCAAATGACAGGATGAAAGCCTATTACTAGAGAGCAAATCGAGGATGAAAAAGTTCAAAAAGATAAAGGTGTCCAAAATTTCAANAAATTGTTCCCAGAGAGAACATGTGCACTAAAATCGTGTACATGGAATGAACGTCATGCAAACATGAGAGGCACAAAATGTAATAAGACAATAAAAAGGGAAGATTGTTGTAAATGTGAAAGACTTTTACTTAAGCTAAGCTTTTAAAGAAGGTATAACTTAAGTATTTATACTTCAACACCTTCATGTGCTAGACAATTTTTCAAGGAAACCAAAATTTCCTTAACCTTGGGTAAAAGGGTGCAGACAAGATGTCCCTAGAAACCTTCCGTCCTTAAATGTTTTCCACCCGTCTACTTTCTCCTTTCTCAAACGACTAGAAACAAAGGATAGCCTCGTGAGCCTTCCGTGCCTCACAATCGTGAAAATTTCAAGTAAAAAAGAAATGTGACATAAAATGCCCAGCCTAATGTAACCAAAACCATTGCCGCCATGCCTCCTTGCTAAAGGCTAACTCTCAAATTCACACCACCGCACTGTCAAACACATAGCTTGCTCATTATTCACATCAAGAAGTAGCAAACTTAGGGCACTCACCCCACCCCATCATAATCCCCTTCCACAACCCTAACCCATAAGGTGGACCTCACCTCTCTATTCAACCACCCTGTGTCCATACCATAATTAGATTCCATCACTTAGAAAGCATGCTCTTAATACTTCCTTTTGGTAGATATAATCGTAAATCGTTTTCCAAGCTTTTCCATCAAATTCCATACTACCTTAAACTTAAAGGATGGCCACAAAAGAAGGCCCAACTAAGTGGAAGAAAAGATGCCTATCTAGCATCCCAAAATTCTAGCTTATAGATCCAAGCCCCTTTACTCTCTCATAGACAACCCTACATCAATTGACTACTTGATAACCTATCTTCATTCCATTGTTAATAATCAATAATTGTATTATCTAATAACCAGTGGAATTTTGATAAAAAAAAAATAGAACACAAATATTAGTATAGAATCAATAGTACATATAGGTACATGTGTATAAATCCATACATATACACATATATAAGAACAATGATTAAGAGTAAAGGCAAAGGAGACTAGGAAACTAGAAGCTACTCGACGAATTAAATTAAACACAAATCATTATTCAAATATTATTTTGAAATAAGTCCATCACCTTAACTGCTATAAACAAATGAACAATTTTTCTCTTAAACAATGCTCTAATTCCAAGCAACTGTTTCAATTAATGAAAATCAAAGAAGAACTTAAGTTCAATAATTGAATGAATTAAATGGACAGTTGTTGAGGTTTGGTGAAAGCACACTCCATCCCCAGACATTTCAAAAATTACATCAAGTCTCAATTGACTAATAATCAACTAATAAAGTTGGCAGAAATAATGACATAAGCATTTTACCCTTTGATCAGAGTAAATAAACTCAAACCCGATTAACAAGCAAAAACTAGAACAAAAACAAAACTCAAACCTAAACCCATGGTGTCCCTCTTTGATTTCTCTCCCCTTGACCAACCCAACCACCCATACTCCTCCCCACAAACCACGTAGCCCACCAGTGAAACTTTTTTCACCCTACATTGCCAAACACCCTCCCCCTCCAAGCCGAGACTCCCATGCTAGATTCCTACATTAGAACCCCCATCCCCCGCCCAAAACCTGCCAAACCATTAATGCCCTATCAAAAACATCTCCCATAAAGCCTATCCACCACCACTCTCCCCAAGTCCCCCAAAACTGCTGCCAAACTCACTCTTCCTTCGATCTCCTTATTATGCATCTCTCTCGATATATATTTCAAAATATCTACTGATGAAGTTGGTGCTTTGAGCGTCTGGCGATGGTTATAGATCTTAGGTGGTTGGTTAGAGTGATGGCANTCAAAATATCTACTGATGAAGTTGGTGCTTTGAGCGTCTGGCAATGGTTATAGATCGTAGGTGGTTGGTTAGAGTGATGGCAGTGGGGGATTAAGGAGGGGGGTTGGGGTGTTTGTTTGATGCGGTGGGTTTTGGGTGGTGACATGGGTGCTTGGGATTGGGGGTGCGGGTCAAGGTGCTGNCAGTGGGGGATTAAGGAGGGGGGTTGGGGTGTTTGTTTGATGCGGTGGGTTTTGGGCGGTGACATGGGTGCTTGGGATTGGGGGTGCGGGTCAAGGTGCTGGGTTATTGTGGTGGTGGCCAGCCAAGGGAGATGAGAGTTGCAGATTTTTTTTTTTATTATTCCATTGATTTTCCTGTTTATGTTTTATCCCAAATAATAGTTCTATCATTCAGTATTAATAAGGCCAATGTAGGCCTTTTAACAAAAATGTCAAGATCAACTGATCAACAACAATTGATTAATCAACTTAAGGGGTGGGGTTGACTATAAGTTACCTTTAAAGTTAAACCTCATGAATTTCTCAATAATTCCTGAAATCACAGGGAGTAGCCTGCATTATGACCAAACCTTAGGGCATATCATACAATTGGTTCCCAACAATTCTATTAGCTGAAAAATTTTGGATCTTCCAAGATTCTTGGCGGTCAAATGGTCAACTCTATAAGTTGCATATGTCATAAAAGACATGAAAGACAATTTGATAGTCATTCAGCTATTATTTCCACAGCAATTCATCTGTACTGTAATAATTTAATCAACAAAAGAATATATCCCCGGAGGGGTGATTTTTCACATTATTTGTTCTTCTATTTGAAGAGATTCTCTCCCCTTTTGTTTTGACATTACCTTGAGATGGACATAAATAACTAACAAACATCAACACCCTGATTTCTAGATATTATAAATGTATGACGGCCAGCCAAGTTATCAAGTCACGCTTGTCGGTTGTCCTTACCAGTTGTCCAGAAGTAGGCACACAAACTTATTTATTATCTAAATACTTGAGGAGTTTAGATTAACCATGATAGTAAGTAACAACATGACCTTTCTTAACATTGAAATATTTTTAACAGTTTTTAAAGTATTCTTGATGATGACATTCACATAGGTGCAACAGGAATGGTGATATTGTCCCTCCATTGATCTGGAAATTTGTGAGCTGGGAAGTATCATGATCATCCAAAAAGAAGGGTTTCAATTTTTAGGAACAAAAAAATTGAATATGGAAGTATGACTGATATTCTCTATTTGATAATTGGAGAAATATCATTGAATGGATTCAAATAAAAAGAAGGATCATTTGTTCACATTCCAAATTATTAAGCAAAAATTCCTACTGAATAACTTAGCATAGACATCTTTTTTAAGCTAAAAGACATAAAAAGAAGCAATTACCAAGCTGGACACATCTTCCCCAGTTTGGCTGTCATTCTCCACAGGAACAACACCATTTACTTCAATTTTCTTGATATACTGTGTAGAGTACAATATCACCCCAAACCTCACAGGAAGACTATTCTCAAACAAAGAGATAATCGTTTCAACGGTCTGCATAATTTCAAGGAGTTAAATGAGCAAGTGACACAATAGAAAACAAACTAAAAAGAAAGATCCTTTGGCAAGAAAACAAAGAACTTGCCTCAAGCCCACAAATGGAAGCAGGATCCAAAACATAAACTGCATGGAAAAGGTTCTTGCGAATGTAACGTAGTTGTCCAGGGAAGACTGGCATCAGAATCTATAGCGGCCAGATGAAAATGATTTATTTGAGGGATAGTTAATAAGGGTTAGCCATAAAACTAAATAAATTTACTGAAAAATAAAGCATACCTCATTTATATTGCTCCGCCATCGCCTGTACATGCTATCCACCTCCAAGTTATTGAGATATTGAACATGATCCGAGCGAAAATCAACACGGAACATATTGGATTCAGGAGGAGGTACAGTTGATAGGAGTTTCCGAACAGTGCTTGTAGGAATCTAGAACATTTAGCAACATTCTGTAAGATAAAGCCTTAACATTAATTCTTTTTCCTCAATGTACAGCTTGTAGAAAAACTACGATAGATTCATGGGAAAGAGAGGAAAGTGTCAACTCATGTATAAAACTATATGCATACTCAAGTATATTTTTTAATGGAATTATGATTGTGTAAATGGATGACTCTTGGAAAATAATCTAAAGTATCTCAAAACGGAACAAGTAAACTAAGTGAGTATATTTGATTTCTGCCACACATATCTGCTTGATTACCTCCAAATAGAATGATGTTAAGGAGATATATGCTCAACTACAAAGTTTACTTCAGTCGATTGGGGTTGAACCTCATGAACCGCCATCAAACTCAATAAAACACACATAGGGTTTGAACTTGGCAACCGCCAGGTCAACAGACCACCAGCAACTAACAACAAACTCACTTACCCCTTGTATTACATAATCGATTATGTTATCATGAACAGTTCACCAGAAAAATCAAAAGTGTACTTTTAGTCAATGCATTATTTAACAAGGATAGACATCATGAAACAAGTCAAATTTCAAGTAGAGATTAGAGCATTGAGTCATCATGAAATTAGTTGTCAAGAAAGCAGAAAGTTTGGGTGGAAGCAAAAATGAATCCATGTCCATGTGTCTCATATTTCATAGACTCCTATTACATTTACTAAACACACAACAAATATGACACAAAAATAGTTGTTTACAATATGTTTAAAAGGAGAAAAATAAATTATTAACAAACTTGCTTCTTTCTTCTTTTCTTTTTCCTTTTCCTCATTTTGCAGAGAGTAAATAAAAGGAAGTGGGGAAGCCCTAACATATAAACAACTAAAAAAAAAACAACTTTCTACATGGTATGTGGAATCGTTTGCACTTATTTTACTTCCTGATTAAGAGGTGCTTCACTAAATAGGCCTTTGTATGGCAAGACACAGAATTTACCATGAAATAAGCAAACTTTGAATTTCGTAGTCAGACTTTAGAACCTAAATAGATTCATTAACATTACATAAGTATGAATCACTATTGAGTCATTGCTTGGTGCAATGATAAAAATCGAGTGATCAAGTATGACAATGCAAATCAAGTCCAAGAGAAGCCACTTCTTCTATATACGCAAAACCGTTGAAATATTCTTTAGACTCTCCAATGTGCCTGAGAGCTTTTGTTATTGGAACTGATATGCCCCTCTGGCTGAACCAGAAGTCAGCCCTGAAACCAGCCCCATATGTCAACCTTAGCTGGGTTTATGCTGGATTCAGGTACATGATTATATGCTAATTGAACTCGCCACATAGAACTGCCCACTAATGCCAATTTTCTCATGAACCATATCCCAACATGAGCAGAAAATGCTGAGCCAAAGTGGACTCTTATGTATTTTAGAAGAAAATCAAAATCTTGTAAAATGGTTAAGAGTACTAATGTGAAAGCCAGTATCTATATAAGCCATGTATACAGAAATGGTGAAAAGAAGGAAGAAAAATCAAGGGAAAGATCAACCAAATTAGCATGCAAAATACCAATCTGTGGTCTATTATTTCTCAGCGAGCTCGAAAATCATTCAGCATCATTACCTTCAATTTTGAGTACTGATCAGCCAATGATAACTCCTGATGGACAACGTCAACCAGCCTACAAAAATACGACAGCATGTAAAAGTTAAATAAGACATTCGGTTGTAAATAGCAAATCAACCAAGTGAGAACAAAATTGAACAGTTAAAGGATCATATTAGATGGACAACTAGAATGCAGTCAACATGAAAGTGAAATGAAACCCACAAGCTCAAATGTGAAGCAAAGTTTTATCCATTTAAGTTAAATGTACCATCTCAAATAAATCAAAGCTACTAGATCAGCCATAGTCAACAAATCATAGGTCAGAGTCTCTACTCCCCAAACAGAACTTCCTCACCTAAGATATACTGCAACCACTACAGGGCTGCAGTTTAAAGTCTTACATCTAACACAATCCTCTAGCTAGGACTAAAGCGGAGAATTGCACAAGGTAGTTCGCCTAAGTAAAACCTTTCACCAATCCTGTAAGAGCATGAACCCTGCAAAATAGAAAATATGGACATCTGTACAGAGTAGCTACGATGTGATTCTGTTGATTTGCAATTACCAAAGTCCCAAACGAGGGGAAATAGGTTGTTTTTATGGAAATTCAGAAAAAAAAAAACCTACATTAACATTGAACTAGAGATGGCATGAAAGTTGAAGATCACTTTAGAGAACCTTATTCCTGTCCAACAACAAGACTGATCAAATTCCCCAATACTGGGCATATTTTGTGGAAACTTTTCAACAAGACAGTTCCGGCAAATCCTTTTCAATTTGGACTTTCTTTCTACCCAAAAGTCGATAACAACTACTAATGGGGGAAAACATAAAAAACTGGATTGAAATAACAGCATGAGGCCTGGAGGTAAACTTATCTCTTTCAACAGATTATGTACACAACAACTGGCATGATTGCTAGAGTTGTTATCTCTCAGCCCTTTTCAGATGTCGTCAAAGGTTATTACCAACCATGTCAGAATGATTACTAAAGGTGTTTGATTCGGTTAGATGCAAGGATCAAAATATCGTTTCGAAACAATCGAAACATCCGAAATGTTTCCGTTTTTAAGGAGACCGAAACGAATCAGTAATGGAATCGAAATTATAATATTTTGAGTCAATTCCATAATGTTTTGAGATGTAGTATAATATTTTAATGCATTTATACAATTGTTTCGGAATGTTTCAAGATATTTCAATCAATAATTCTTAAATTTTTATTTTTTTCATTATGTTTCTGAAGCAGGTCGAAAAGTTTATATTTCTTAGGTGACCAAAACAATACACCAAAACGAAATTTTGATCCCTAGTTAGATGTACCATTTGTGTATTACTTCTTTCCTATAGCCATGAAGTTTGCTTCATCCTTCACTNGAAAAGTTTATATTTCTTAGGTGACCAAAACAATACACCAAAACGAAATTTTGATCAGATGTACCATTTGTGTATTACTTCTTTCCTATAGCCATGAAGTTTGCTTCATCCTTCATTTATATTTCCCCATTTTTCTTAAGAATCTTATTTTTTTTCCCCCAAAACAACAGAAGAAAAAGAAAACATTTTAGTAAAGATAGATAAGATATAGTGCTTAACATGTAAAGGTAAACCATAACAGGTTTGATAGAAGTAAACGAAGGAACACAACTTAGTGGGAGCGAAAGCATTACTGATAGAGGTCAATATCGTCGATATTCAGTAAAGCACCATTCAGAGCCATTAAAGACTTGCCAGCTNAGTGCTTAACATGTAAAGGTAAACCATAACAGGTTTGATAGAAGTAAACGAAGGAACACAACTTAGTGGGAGTGAAAGCATTACTGATAGAGGTCAATATCGTCGATATTCAGTAAAGCACCATTCAGAGCCATTAAAGACTTGCCAGGTGGGATCATTCGCTGATTTGCGATGATTTCATCCTTAATGGAGTCATTGAGCTGCAAAAGTTCAACATACATACAGATTTATCAACCTATAACCTTAAGAAATATTTTAAGAAATCAAATTTTCATCTCTCTTATAACAACCAAACATAAGTATTTGCAATAGGTTATCTTACCTTCATACGGGACAAGGAAGAGACAATACTGGGGAAATTTTGATTGATTTCTTGCATTGACTGCAGAGGATCAGAAGCATGAACTATCCTCTGTGCAGTTTGATGTCCCAAATCTGTGTAGAAAAGCAAAAAAAGGGGGGGTGAGTTCAATAGAAAAAAAATCTTCCCATGTTCAAATTTATCATGAACTTGTTAATCAATAATGATGAAGATTACCCTTTAATTCCCAAACATCTAATGTATCAGATACCGTAGACGACAAAAGATAATCCCTGAAAGCCATTATCTCAGATGTTAGCTCAGGTTTGCGCTCCTGCATGAGGATAGAAGTAGAGAATATTAGCTCCAAAATGGCTAGAGGGATATCTCATGCTTCAGTGCAATATTCTAAAAGATGACACATCCAAGAAAATCAAAATTTGAACGAGGTACCCCAATGCTCACCTCAAGTAATGCATTTCTCAAGAGCTTTGAGGCTTTTTAAAACTAACTGGTGATCGCCGGTGGTGACACTTCAAAAGCCATAATTGAGTGAAAGTTTGGGCTTACTTTCACATCAAATTATTTGCACATGGTGCACCTCAGCTTGGTATATTTCTATTTTAAATCTTGTTTTAAGGTTTTTGAGTAACTTAACATCTTCCTTGTCTAATTTAATCAGAATGACAGCCTTCCAACTATCCCCTCTCCCATTTCATGAAAATGACATACATTACCACAACAGACAGCTACAACAAGGGTATTTTCAAGTTAAAAGGCCAACATGGCAAAATCTTTAGGCCTTAAGGTCCTTTGCTTTTTTCTTTTCCTGTGTTCTTTGTGGGGTTGATGTGAGAAAGGGTGGGGTGGCAGACAACAAAAATGATGCACTGGCTAAACATTTCAGAGTTAATTCTCAATACGGAAGCAAGTGTTCACTTTTATTCTTCTTCAGTAACTAGAACACCATTACACACCCAGCTTCAGATCTTATGTTGCCAAAGACAATCTTTCAACCATTGTTCATGCTTTCTAATCTTCTTCAAGATTCATTTGCTTGGAACAGAATTACTTCTTGATAATGTTACAGCTTCAGGATTCANCACACCCAGCTTCAGATCTTATGTTGCCAAAGACAATCTTTCAACCATTGTTCATGTTTTCTAATCTTCTTCAAGATTCATTTGCTTGGAACAGAATTACTTCTTGATAATGTTACAGCTTCAGGATTCAAAATATATCTAATCGAAAATGACAAGCATGTTTCTACAGAAGATCTGATTGTGTATGCTGCCTCTGCATTCTGTGTGTCAGTTGGTAGATCAATTTCCCAGGAGACAACTAACAATGTTGCATGATAGACTACAAGATTAGAGTATGGAAAAGGCACACCTCCTAGGATAAAATCTGGTTATAGTCAAGCATGACTTCATTATCAAGAAGTGATTTGTGTATTATGCTTTTTTGGGTTTGTTGAATTCTGCCCCTCACAGAGAAGACAGACAGAGAGAGAGAAGGGAGAAACAACACTCCACACATGAAAATAGTCGATTCCACATTTTAGATCAACACGTTTTCCCATCCAAGAAACAGCAGCATATGATTGCCAAGAGAACACAGTACCAGAATGCAATGAAGAATTTTATTTTTAAAAAAATTATGTAAAATCTGCCTGTTTTCAGTACCTAAAATGCAATACACAACAATTACAAAAAATGAATACAAAATCTCTCCGTTTTTCCTTTTGTGGGTGTGCTTGCTGCAGACATGCTTTTCCCAAATCAGAATTTATTTAAATTTAGCATCTCTTTAAGAAAGAAGCCTGTAGGAAAAGCAGTTATGCCTGAAATCGATGGTCTTGCAATCTGAGGGGAAAACATACCAAAATTTTAGAGAATATAAACCCTCTAACTTCTTGGCTGAGATCTTCAGTATGAGGATCTTCAAGGGTGACGGCTGCACCACAGAGATCAAATGTTTAATGAAGCTAGGTAGCTGAAAGCAAAATAGTACAACATAAAAACCATACAGGCAACACAAAATGGGAGAATGGACATAATGAACAAATCAGAAACCAATACTAATGTATTCGAAATAGGGAAACAGATGTTACTATGCGCCACAATCCTGGAAAAAACATCCCTTCTGACTTTTTTGGAAAAGCATCAACATAAAGTTGGTTTTTGATGTATTCTCATAAAGAAGTAAAACCAGAATAACCAAAAAGGGATATGACAAATAATTTCAGCTTCAGGAACAAATTTCAATTCTATAATAGATTAAATGAGAGGTTATAATCAACCACACGATACAATTATACCAGAACTGAAGAAGCATAACTTTTCAAGCTAGTGACCTACTCTAGCAGAATAGCATCACTTATAGATACAAACCTCTCTTTATTGCACTGTCGTCCATAGCTTTATATTCCATGTTCTTCAAAGCAAGTTCTACACCATAACCACCCAAGCTTAAAGGATCTCTTGCTCCGACCACACCACAGTGGCCAGTCTTAAATTGACAGCCAGCAGGCAATACAGGTCTAACAACGTACTTTACTTTTCCCTGGAAGTTATTCGAGGAATTTATTAGCAAGCATTTTTTTGATAGGAAACAATACATTTATTAATATTAACAAATAAAGAAAGGATTACACATCCGAATCAAATGTGAACAAGATGTCCATCTCAATAACGTACAAAATCAAAATAAAACCAATAAAAAAGTTGCAAAATAAGGTCATTTGATTTGAAACATCCCGTGCCATCATCCAAGAAAGTCGTGCTATCTTCCACATCAGGCCACCCAACTTGATGTGATACAAAAGAGAGGAACATTCTCAAATTCCTTTATCATCGAGGCCCAAAATGAAGGTAAGAAAAATATCCGCTCCTACATCCCTTCCACCACTTCCTCTCTATCTTCAAAAATTCTCAAATTTCTCTCCATCCAAATAATCCAAACAATTGCAAAAATTGCACATTGCCAAAGGATAATATTCCTTTCACTACCACCCAAACATTAAAAAATCCATACAAAACATAGATGAGCTAGAATGCTGGGCTACCCAACAAAAGTAAACCATCTCAAACAATATTCATAAGTACAACACAATAGTTAAACGCAGGAATAAATGGTCCACATTTTCGTAACTTGCTCTACACATAACACACCATTGCGGGCCCAAATTTGTGTTTGGCCTACTCCTTTTGAAAACATCATTGGTATTAATCTTTTCCATGAACAATTACCCATTTACAAACTTAACACTTTCAAACGAACTTTAGCCTTCCAAGCATTCAATGTCCGATAAAATATAGGAATAGAAGGACCATCAATTAATTACTTAAAAAAAATACTTACATGAGAAAGAAACTGATGGATCAACATCCCAATGCCTAGTATCCGACAAATCATTGTTCAAACGAATACTACATAGATCGTGGGTCAATTTGGCATGTAGTACAGGTAAGGATCAAAATTTCGTTTTGATGCATTATTTCTGTCACCTAAGAATCGAAAACATTTCGACATGTTTCGAAAACGTTTCGACTAGTTTCGGAAACAAAATGAAAAAAATAAAAAAATTAAGAATTATTTTTCTAAAACATTGTTGAAATATACTATGTAAATGAATTAAAACTTTACAACATACTTTAAAACATTATAAAACACCTCGAAGTATTAGAATTTCGATTCCATCGTTGATTCATTTCGATCTCCTTGAAAACGAAAACATTTCAACTGTTTCGAAACGAAATTTTGATCCTTAGGTACAGATACATCTTTCAATACGCGATGCGATGGGAGTAGGTTTAGTTGATAAGTCAATTTGGGTCGTGGTTTTTTTTCTATAGCGTCACTTTCTCTATTATATGAGGTTATATATAATTATGCATTCATATATATTTTTAGTTAATTAGGACTTATTTTGGGGTTTGAGTTATCATTTGGGGTTCAAGTTACCATTTCGCAATCTAGACCCTTCGTTTCGGGTCTTGCAACCCCAGGTTATGGGACAGTAGAGGTTGTTAGAGTATTAATATTAGGGATAATTTAGGGTTTACTTTATTCTATGTTCCCCTACTATATAAGGGTCTTAATTGTGTATTTTAGGTCAAGTTGTTGCCCAGACTAATTATGTCGTAATAATATTTTCTCCCTTTCTCTCTTCCATCTTTTTCCTTTGATCTATTCTAACATGGTACCAGAGCATGTTTTCGATCCAAAACATATTTAGCATCACTATGATTTTTTTAGAGGAAGAGACTGTCATTGGAATAGGGATGACGTCATCTACACACAAGATGACATCATCATCTAGGAGAGTTGAACACCACTACTCCACTCCATTTTTCATGGGCTATGACGTGGTGTGATTTGTTTTTTATTTTGTGCACATCTAGTAGGTTTTTCCAATTTTGATTATTTTTGGAAAATAGGCCCAAAATTTGCAGATTTGCAATTTCTAATCTAGTTTCTTGCCTCCAACCCATCCTATTACCTGCAATTCAGCCTTATTGTTGTTTGATTAGAATCTGGGTAGCAGATTGAACTGCTTTGTGGCAAAATTTTTGGCTTTTCTCTATTGGGCAGGTCTGTGTCGCAACTACTAGTGCGATTGTCTTCTGGTTTTGCATGGGTAGTTGATTTCTTCTGGTTTGATGGTCTTTTGGCTTCAGTTGGCACTCTTGGCTTTGAGATTTTCTTCTGCATTGCACAGTAGCTTCATCTTCTTCCTCATGCTGCGTACTGGTTCTTCACGTTGGAGGCTTCTGCTGGTTGATTCTTGCTGGAATTACTGATACTTTATGGGCTGTGCTGTTGGTGGGTCTCTACTGAATAGTAACAAGGCCTTTATTCTGACTGGGCCTCATGGTGAGTTCTCAGTTCGGCCTTTCTTTGATTGTTCTGGTCTGGCTCTCTGCTGGGCCTTTTCTTCTGCTTTTTTTTTTTTTTCCTGATGAGGCATTTGTGCTTGTTGAGCTTGTGTTCTTTGGGCCTCACTTTGGGACTCTTTGTTGCAACCATGACAAGTAACAACTTTGATTCTCTTCGGGCTATCGATNTTTTTTTTTTTTCCTGACGAGGCATTTGTGCTTGTTGAGCTTGTGTTCTTTGGGCCTCACTTTGGGACTCTTTGTTGCAACCATGACAAGTGACAACTTTGATTCTCTTCGGGCTATCGGTGTGAGATTAACCGGTGAAAATTATGTTTATTGGGCTTATTTTTATGAAAAAAAAATTTGTTGGAAAAAGAAATGTGAAATTACATTAGTGATGTTACACAAGTTCAAACTAATACTAAAGCAGAAAATTATTCGTTTTGAAAAACACTTGGAACATCAACAATGCAAAAATTATCATCAGGATCAACAACTCAATTGATCAGACCATCGATATTCATCTGGCTAAGTTTACCACAGCCAAGGAAATTTAAGACTATTTAGCCACACTACTTGTTCAGTCTAACTTTGCAAAGAGATATTAACTAGAACATGATATTCGAGATGCGCATCAAGGAGATAAAAATATCCAAGAATTCTCCTCAAATATGAGTGGATATTGGGATCCACTAGTACTTACTAAACCAATTGAGTTGAGTACTAATCAAGTATACCGTATCTTTAGGGAGGAGCAAAGAGTTGGTGCAATTCTTGATGGCACTTAGAGAAGACTTCAAAGGACTTTGTGGTTCATTTCTTTACCGTTACTCACTTCTCCCCTCAATGGAAGCAGTTGTTAATCAGCTCTTAGCTAAAGAGGTCCGTCTTAAAACCCTTTCTGGAAAAGGTCTTCTCTCATTACTCAATCAAACTATAATGGTTACACCTCCTACAATGACTTCTAATTCACAAAATAAATACCGAAGTTTAGCTCCTTCAGATGAGTGTAGCTTCTATCATGAAAAGGGTCACTGAAAGGCCCAATGTCTGAAATTGGTGAATAAGAATGGGGTCACTAAATCAGTCATTTAAGCCTAGAGATCATTATACTACAGTTCTGCACCACCACTGGATGAGTCAGTCTTATCCACTCCCAGCTTGACTATAATTGCAAATGAGTTGCACAAGCTTCTCTCTCCATCAGCGTAGTGCTCTCACAGTCTCTCCCGTTGTAGGTTCATTTACATCAAGTCCTTCGGGTATATCTCAAACTACTTGGATCTTTGACTCAAACACCACACATCACATGACAAGTGATTCTTCTTTATTTGCATCTATTGTTTATCCTTCATCTATAATTGTACTTGTCACCAATAGTATTCAAATGTCGTTGGTTGGTGTTTGGATGATTAATTCTTCCCACCTTACACTTTCGGATGTTTATTACATTCCTCAACTTACATTAAATTTAATTTCCATCAGCTAACTTACATTCCGAAAATCACCTCATTCAAATCCATTAGCATCTCACCCATTAGCTTGTAACCCATACTTGCTCCTAATAATGGCATGCCACGAAGAATCTTGTTCCATTCTTGATGGCATGCCATTATTAGGAGCAAGTATGGCTACCGACTAATAAGTGGGGAGGTTAATTCCTTAACCGAGAAATTCATTAACTACAAACACACTTTAATCCACATCCTCTACCTTGACCCAAACGATTTAGATTCCATGACAAAATCCAAGAAGTTCCAATCAACGTTATCATATACTTTTTCAAAATCAATCTTAAGACAAAATGCTTCATCTCTTTNCTACCTTGACCCAAACGATTTAGATTCCATGACAAAATCCAAGAAGTTCCAATCAATGTTATCATATACTTTTTCAAAATCAATCTTAAGACAAAATGCTTCATCTCTCTAGCCCTATCCAAAATCTATCATCCTTTAACAAAGGCTCCTTGATACACCAAAATAATCTAACTTAACCACTCTCTCAATCTCAAAGACAACAGTTTTACAATAATCTTATACAAACTTGAAACTAGATTGATTGGCCTAAAGTCCTTAATATTTAGACCCCAGTCCAGTGCCTCGTAGAGCTAAGGGGGACTTCCTTATTCAGTAGGGAGAGTGTAGCCTCGAGAAGCACTGTTGAGAGGAAGATCCTTGGCCCCTCTTCATTCGATTTGTCTTTTTCAGCTATGAAACACCAACACGTCATTTTACCTCACATATCCATGTCCCGCACGGACATATTCCGAGACATCCCGGACACATGTCCACGCAAAAATCAATGTCCCATTTTTTTTATGTTTTATCATATTCCGNGTCATTTTACCTCACATATCCATGTCCCGCACGGACATATTCCGAGACATCCCGGAAACATGTCCACGCAAAAATCAATGTCCCATTTTTTTTATGTTTTATCATATTCCGACACGTCTAAACTAATTAGATTAATCCGTCACCATATTAATTGTTTGTGGGAATGCAAGGAGAATAACTTTCGTCACCAAAACGAATAACACCCTTGTGCATGTATGCTTGAGTTAATATTGGTAGATGGTTTTATAAGTGAAGGCCATGGTGTCAACCCACCCCGACAACATGGTTTATGTAGGAAGTACCAAATAAATAATATGTCTCTACTTCATATAAAAATTCCAATAAGTCAGCCCCACACACACCCAACATGATAATGTTGATCTCTTAATTCTCCTTTTCATAAAGCCAAAAGAAGGAGGTGAACCTTGTTCAAGAAGAGTTCACCACCTATGGCTATAGCTATCATATATAGTAGATATATATCTCCTAAAAAATCAAAGACGAACCAAAAGTCTCTACCACCCACAAAGTGTCTAATATTAAAATCTTCAGCCACAAATTGGACTGCTCCACCTCTCACAAGCTCTAGCTTTCCTCTCATGCCAGATGCACCAATTCAAGCATGAAGGTGATGTCTACAATTCTTCTTCGGAGAAAGCACATCATATTTTCATTGGGAGCAGCTAGTTAAATAACAAACTGGAACTGTAAGACTTTCTCGATATACTTGCTCATCCTTGAGATACTGGACGCAAAAGAACCTAAAAATTTTGAGTGATCTAACAAATAATAAACTAGAGTTTCTAACAAATTCCTTCCACTAGCACAAAGCAGGAGTATCACCTCGGCAAATAACATTGGAGATTGGACTATATTCAATTATTCAAATAGGAAGTTTTCTAGAAATATGAAAGTAAGTGAGATCAATATATAGTCATGGTTCTGCAATGAATTACAAGATTATTAAGCATCACCTCAAACCCTTAGCAAAGATTCATATGACAATGACATGGGATGAAGGAAGGGAATAATACCCCCTTCAATTCGGTTGTTAGAGATTTAAGCAAATTGGCTCCACTAGTATTGCAAGCAAGGTGCAGCAAGCTGTCTCAATGTGCCAGCTGGACATTTAGAATATGAAGCCAAGAAGTCTCTAGAGTCTTAGACAAGTAGGATCATTAGGAATCTACCACCAACTATTCAAACTACTGTTGGTGAGATGCAGCCAGCTGAAACAATAGCTGGACGTCCGAAAAGTACAGTGAACTAGATAAAGCTAATCCACTGATGAAAGCTTCGTCCATTTCATTTGACATGAAAGTCAAAGAGGGAAAGATAGATATAGGTTTCCCAAAGCAAATGTCAAAAGCATGAAGCATAAGTAGGGATTTGACACTACCAACACACTTACACAAAAACTAACTGCAAAAAATAGGATATAAACACAGCAGGAATGTTAAAAAAATTATGCACGCATAAATAAGAGCATGCATATATATGTGGAAGAACAAACAACCATGGTTCATAACTTTCTACAATTCACATTAGAAAATTAAAGGATGTGTTGAATGGACACAAATTAGGCCACCAATATCAATGAGATCCACCTTCCTATATCTGACTTCTTCAACAACTGGTTCGAATATTTATATTCTACTCTGAAATTTTTTGTACCAACTAGATTCTTACATGACATTATGAAAAAGTCAGTCTTGCATCGAAGAGTGTTGAGAAGTATCAGAATGGTGTCCAGAGTTCAAAACATTTTCTGGTGAGGTATTGAAATTCCAAACTGATTCAACTTAAGAGTACTTTAAAAGCAACAAGTTAAAGAATTCACGCACATTTCAACAAGATATATACATATCTGATCAGGATACAGCTTTCCTAAAGTATTTCCTAAACAGCACCCACGCTATTTTGGTGCCATTTTATCAGGGGATCATGTTGAGAACCAAGCATTACAGTTGGTGAACAAGCAAGGAGCAATCACTACCATGTCCTGATGTTAATTTATGTGGCAACACTTATATAGAAAATAAAAATTGCAGTAATATTATACGTGTTCCAGCATCAAATCTTTAGACAGGTGTAAACTCTTTGCATATCACAATTCTTAACATATTCTTCTGTTATAGGAGAAAATATTCACAAATAGCAACTACTAAAGTGAGAATTACTTTATTCTAATCATGATAGTAAGAGTAATGCATGACAGAATATCTCTTAGTGTTAAGTAGTGGACCTCTTTGGCTGCTTCCACCAGGGTAACATGAAATTCCCTAAAGCAGTCCATCCCAAGAGCTCCATATAAAATGGCCACTGGGCCTGCTATGCTTGAATCAAAATGGACATGATCAAAGTCGAAAAGTTCAGGCTGCTGAAACATGTCTCCGGCTCTAGAAGCAACAAAAAGATATTTTTAAGGAGCACAAATTGAGACGCTATCAACTGATATAGATTCAAAATACTTGCCAATGAACATCAAAAGCAAGACTTACGATTCATTAGGGCTACGAAGCCACAGTTGCAACTCTGTAACATCAAGAAATAGTGCCCCACCTGTATCCACCCAACAACACTTTCCACCAGGACTTTGCAGGTTCAGGCCCACAGGCAAGGGTTTGGTCTTTTTGCTTTCTATGTTTTCATTAGATTCAGAAACCTCTCCAGTGATAATGTTGGAGTTAATATCATCAGTTAGCGGAAAAGAAGAAAGAGACTCCTCTGCTAATTGTCGGTAAAGCACTAATCTAGGGGATGCTGACCTAAGCGTAAGAGAGAATTCGAACACTGAAGCCAAAGTTTCGGGTAAAAGAGATTGCCCATATTTCACAATTTTCTTTAAGCAACCTTTAGCCGTATAAGAATCAATTTCCTCATTGGCATTGTGAAGCCAAACCTCAATGAACTCCCAGAAAAGGTCTTTCCATTCTTTAGATAGCAATTCCCTGTCAAAAAAAAAAAAACAATTGAAGACATTAAAAGAAGGAGATTTGTAGAGGAAAATTAAGTTCACCTAGCTAACATGATGGTTCAAACATGACAATCAAACTCCAATCCAAAGGGACCATCGATTCATTATTGCTTGGCTAAAAGAATTTTTAATCAATCCACTATGCCAGATAACTAAAGATACATTTAACTAAACAAGTCCTTCAATAGTGTCTGTACTTATCCATTCATCATTAAACCTATAAATTCATATATCTAATTTACGTGGGAACTGCAAAATACTATAGAAACAACACCCATCCCATGAGGAAAAAACACTCAAATCCAACTATGAGAAAGAGTATTAGTAATTCTTTTACTATAAAGGTGCTTCCTCCTTTCATCATCAATCTCATTCAAATTATCTAGTATCAATGAATTAAAACTTTTATGAATCAATGAATAACTCAGCAAAGAAACCCAAGGAATTTACTGCAGTAAAAACATCAATTGAACCAATACTACAAACAAACAAACTACAACCTACGCACTGCAACTCATGTTCAAATTAGTTCACTGCAAAAAATTAATTGGAGTAACCATTCTTGTCAAAAGAGCAATGTTAAAACAATCCAGTCCAGAAAGCTCGGCAATCCCAAAAACACCCANTGTCAAAAGAGCAATGTTAAAACAATCCAGTCCAGAAAGCTCGGCAATCCCAAAAAAAAAATGACAGTTTCAACGAAAATCCCCATAAAATCATCACAAATTCACCTTATCCAAAATTGCCAGAAGAAATCGTATAAGAAATAATACATGAAAACAATCGCAACCCAGATTTTATTATGGTGAAACAAACATACCCAGCTTCTAAAAGTATTGGGGTACCAGACCACTTGGCCCGAAGAGCAACCTGTACGTTCTTGGGTCGACCAGTCACTGCAGATACTGAATACACAGAGAGGCTGAGACAAACAAGTAGAGCTATCAGTACCCAAAACCCAGATCTGATATGGGTTTTCATTGCTGGAAATTTGAACAAGTGAGGCCTTTTCAGATCGATCACAGGATCACCATTGATAGTTAAGTGATTAAAGATTCAGTCTTTTTACGGGCTTTGTTTGTTACGGCGGAAAGAAGATAGTTTGTGGAGAGAAATCAAGGCATTTATGCACCGAGGAAGACCATGACTTTCGAGTCTCGGCACTGCTGCGTGAGCAATGCGGTAAACGTCATCGTTTTGACATGGCACAGTTTGATTGGTGAAGGAGGAAGGATTCTATTGGGTTTAAGCAAAACCCTTGATTAAGGTGCTTTGGTTATGACGCAACTGTTCTTTTCTGATTCCTTTATTTTGGTATTTACCCCCGATTCTTATTTTTCACAAAGTGTTAGCTACAAAAATTAATTGAAATTATTGAAAATTAAAGGCATGTTTAGTTTACGTCTGAAAAAATAATATCTTAAAACTATTTTCTAAGACGTATTTTCAAAAATTGATTTTAATATTTTTTGTGTCACAAAACTTGTTTGGTTATATAATTCTAAAAACTGTTTTGCAAAAGAAAAAATAAAAAACAAATTTGGACAATAAGACAAAAAATAATTAAAATAGAGATAATGTTTAGATTGAATGTTTCATTGAAAAAACATTATATTATAAATTATAACATAATACAAAGCATTGTTCATATATACAAGCTCCACATTATATTACAATGAGAGAGGTAATCACTTGTCCACCATACTGGTCATAATTAAAAACAATAAAAACAACACGAAATGACATTACATCCGCAACAATAAACAAATGAGTCAATAGATCTGAAAGTAAAAAGGAAAAATACAAACAAATCTAACAAACATAAACTCTATTAACAAAACAAGGCAAAAAAACATAAAAAAAAAAAAAAAGAAAGAAAGAACAGATGAACTATGATTCGCTGGATGTGGCTCCTGTGCTTCGGCGGAGTAAGTGAAGAAGAGGGCTGAGCAACCTCTGGGCAAATGACATGGAAGGGAAAAAAATACCTTTTATACTTGGTCAAAAAATGAACATTAATAACAGTGCATATATACTCCGTGTTTTCATAATTTTCAAAAAACTTATCATAAAACAAGTCAAGCTTGTTTTCTGTTTTTGTGTTTCAAATTTCATTTTTTTTTCTCAAAATTTTGAGATCAAAAATACTAAACAAACAAGTTTTTGATATTTTTAAATTTTTGAAAACAAAAAATAATTTTTGAGAACAAAATCAAATACACCCTAAGGTTCTATTTATTTTGTAACTGTTTTTTATTTCTGAAAACAATTTCTGGAAGAATGCCCTTTACCACGCACCACCACCACACTCTCATTACCATATTTTTATTTTTATTATTTTCTAGGCTATTGTCCATAAAATTTTATTATTTTTTATTCTGTATAACTATTTTTAGAATTATATAACCAAATAAATTTTACAACACAATAAACACCAAAAATAATTTTCGAAAACTCTTTCTAAAAACAGTTTTTGAACACTAATTTTTAAGATATGAATCAAAGAGCCTAAAATTTTCGTACTTTTTTTGTCAATAACTTTAGGCATGGAATTTTAAGTCATTAAGTCCACTTCAGCTCAACTTTTTTGTCCTCCAATCCAATTTAACCGACCCCTCTAGTATTCACACGCCTACAGCATCCAATTCCTTCGAGCTATTCTCTGCATTTTTCTTTTCCCCCTTCTCTCTATCCACACAAAAGCTTCCAAGATTCACGTAGCTTTCACGGTCAAAGGAAGAGTCATCGATTTGATAGTGAATCCAAGAGGCTAGTTCGTCTTCATGCATGAATAGGTAAGGTGTGGTTTCATTGTCCGATCGGATATTTCTAGCCATAGATTGTGGGGAGGGGAAGACCACCTCTTGGTCTATATGAGATTTCTTGGAAGATCTACTGTATCTGTAAGTAGCAGAGTAAAGAAATAAAAGGACAAATTTACATTGCTTCTATATTGGCATTCTGATCTTGCAGTGTCTTTTATTAAATTAATGGCTTTATATTATCAATTATTTTCATTCTTCTCAAGGAGTTATTCAGGCTTGTTATGGCAACTGATTAATCTCATCGAGATTGTATCTAGTCCCACATGTAGCTGGTGTTTGGATCACCATGGGAGGATTGGGTTGGATTGGATTTTAATCCGAACCGAATCCAATCCAATGCAAAGTGGTCCTAATTGGAGGATTATAAAGTAATGTATCAAATCCTATCTTATTTTTGGATAGAAACCATTTAGTTTGTGGGCCCTTTCACATGTAAAGATAAAATATACTAAAATGACTGTTGCACTTTTGTGTAAATAAATGTAATCCAATCTTATACCAAGTTTGAAATGGAATGAAAAAAGTCAAATCCATTAATAATGTCTTATTTAGGAAAAAAAAAATATGAATCAATAAGTTACGCATTTTTACAAAATATTGCAAAAAATATGTTTATAATTTATTATTTAATTTGTACAATACACAATTAATCACAAAAATTATATGCATCATAAAAAAATAAAAAATAATGTACAACACAAACGCATAATTATAATCCGAATATTATGCTTATACAAAAGGTCCCTATTTTACAGTCGTTCATACACAACATACAAATTACTTATTGGAGACCTTCCACAAAAAAATAAGGCATACACTTTGCCTTTTTGGAGACCCTCCACCACACAACAAGGCAATATGCTTAAATGTGATAGAAATACATATGCATGCCTTCACAACACAATCAAACAACCTACAGTCAACACAAAATAACCTTTAAACATCATGTAATTCCACAAGCGTAGTTACATAGATATTAAAATGACTTGTGAATCGTAGCAGTAAGTTCCGTATCGATGTAAAGGTTATTGGAAGAAGTCAATCATNAATGACAGTTTCAACGAAAATCCCCATAAAATCATCACAAATTCACCTTATCCAAAATTGCCAGAAGAAATCGTATAAGAAATAATACATGAAAACAATCGCAACCCAGATTTTATTATGGTGAAACAAACATACCCAGCTTCTAAAAGTATTGGGGTACCAGACCACTTGGCCCGAAGAGCAACCTGTACGTTCTTGGGTCGACCAGTCACTGCAGATACTGAATACACAGAGAGGCTGAGACAAACAAGTAGAGCTATCAGTACCCAAAACCCAGATCTGATATGGGTTTTCATTGCTGGAAATTTGAACAAGTGAGGCCTTTTCAGATCGATCACAGGATCACCATTGATAGTTAAGTGATTAAAGATTCAGTCTTTTTACGGGCTTTGTTTGTTACGGCGGAAAGAAGATAGTTTGTGGAGAGAAATCAAGGCATTTATGCACCGAGGAAGACCATGACTTTCGAGTCTCGGCACTGCTGCGTGAGCAATGCGGTAAACGTCATCGTTTTGACATGGCACAGTTTGATTGGTGAAGGAGGAAGGATTCTATTGGGTTTAAGCAAAACCCTTGATTAAGGTGCTTTGGTTATGACGCAACTGTTCTTTTCTGATTCCTTTATTTTGGTATTTACCCCCGATTCTTATTTTTCACAAAGTGTTAGCTACAAAAATTAATTGAAATTATTGAAAATTAAAGGCGTGTTTAGTTTACGTCTGAAAAAATAATATCTGAAAACTATTTTCTAAGACGTATTTTCAAAAATTGATTTTAATATTTTTTGTGTCACAAAATTTGTTTGGTTATATAATTCTAAAAACTGTTTTGCAAAANGAAAAAAAAAATATGAATCAATAAGTTACGCATTTTTACAAAATATTGCAAAAAATATGTTTATAATTTATTATTTAATTTGTACAATACACAATTAATCACAAAAATTATATGCATCATAAAAAAATAAAAAATAATGTACAACACAAACGCATAATTATAATCCGAATATTATGCTTATACAAAAGGTCCCTATTTTACAGTCGTTCATACACAACATACAAATTACTTATTGGAGACCTTCCACAAAAAAATAAGGCATACACTTTGCCTTTTTGGAGACCCTCCACCACACAACAAGGCAATATGCTTAAATGTGATAGAAATACATATGCATGCCTTCACAACACAATCAAACAACCTACAGTCAACACAAAATAACCTTTAAACATCATGTAATTCCACAAGCGTAGTTACATAGATATTAAAATGACTTGTGAATCGTAGCAGTAAGTTCCGTATCGATGTAAAGGTTATTGGAAGAAGTCAATCATCAATAATTATAACATCGACGGTTGAGGCGGATTTCACCGATGGAGATGATCCTACACTATCAGAAGGTTGTGCGCTTGATGGTGGAACATCATTGTTGAAAATGACTTTAAAATATTGATAGTTAGGACATGCGTCTAGACAATAATCCATAGCAAATTGTGCTTCCCGCATGATGTAAGCAACAAAGAGTTATTAATTAAAAGGTACAATAAAGAAGGTGTGTGCTTTTCACTTAAATTAATGAAGCACACTTCCAAAAATTCATTTGATCCCTCCACCTCTCCTTTTTTGAAACATTTATTGCTATTGTCCCAGGAAAATTTGCCCGTCTCTAACATCTCTGAAATTGTGAAATATTGTCGCTCCCAAAAAAAGATCATGCATAAAACATCACTCAATGAGAGGCTAAAGTTTGGCAGACGCCTATGTAGGACATCTAATAAGCGATCCATCGTTTTCTTGTCATATCTACCGTAAGGAGGTAAATGGTTCTGATGTTTGTACTCAATTAACGTATCAATCATGACTTTAGTTTCATTATCACTAATATTTGGAATCTTCATCCTTAAGTAACACAATTGCAACTTCACATTAGATGCATCAATCACAAACATAAATGTACAAGTACATAGTGCTCAATATGGTAAAATAAAACAAACAAGTGATTTCATTATACATAGATGGATAATCAACAATTCCACATTACAAAGTCCTTACAAACCAATATACCTTTATGTTTTCACAATTCCAAGAAGTAATTATAAATGGAACAAATGCACAAATAAACTAAGCATGGCCTTAAAAAAAATCCAACACTCATCCAACTTTGTCCAACAAGAAGTACCTAACATGGGTGAGTATTACACTCAAAAGCAACATCATGACACTTATTTTCACCACATAATATTTCGCTGATATGCATATCTTTGCACAATGAAAGGTGGTGGTACAATATCTTCCAGTACAACTTGTTCATTAATATTGTCTAACATTGCATTCTCTTCCCCAACATTATCATCACCATCTGCACCAATTGTTTATGTTTTCATCCTTCCAAAGTGAATGTGTAACGCAATCTTAGTCTTATTGTAAGAATCACAGGACTTGTAAAGTGTACCAGGAAACTTATGCACATGTACATGACACTCTAGCCATGAATGGTAAATTCCAACCTGTTGCCCTACAAATATGATATACTATCGTTCCCGCCTGTGCATTACTACTGACACCATAACATTGTTTGTTAATGATCAAAACTAAAAAACAGTCTATATGCATGGTATCATACAAATGACCAATTAAAACACAACCAAACATGCAAAATGGTGAATTTGCATACACATCAGCACAACATAAAATAGGGCCCTGTTACATAAATTCCACAATACGAACATAATTATATAATAAACAACAAGTTCAACAAAAAAGGCAAGAGATTGTTTATAGTGGTCCGTCAACTGATATACCGCCTTCAACATTAAGTACAACGTGTGTTCCACAATAGTCTTCCAACTTTAGTAGGACGTGAATACTCAAGCAAACTGNATGGCACAGTTTGATTGGTGAAGGAGGAAGGATTCTATTGGGTTTAAGCAAAACCCTTGATTAAGGTGCTTTGGTTATGACGCAACTGTTCTTTTCTGATTCCTTTATTTTGGTATTTACCCCCGATTCTTATTTTTCACAAAGTGTTAGCTACAAAAATTAATTGAAATTATTGAAAATTAAAGGCGTGTTTAGTTTACGTCTGAAAAAATAATATCTTAAAACTATTTTCTAAGACGTATTTTCAAAAATTGATTTTAATATTTTTTGTGNATGTTTAGTTTACGTCTGAAAAAATAATATCTTAAAACTATTTTCTAAGACGTATTTTCAAAAATTGATTTTAATATTTTTTGTGTCACAAAACTTGTTTGGTTATATAATTCTAAAAACTGTTTTGCAAAAGAAAAAATAAAAAACAAATTTGGACAATAAGACAAAAAATAATTAAAATAGAGATAATGTTTAGATTGAATGTTTCATTGAAAAAACATTATATTATAAATTATAACATAATACAAAGCATTGTTCATATATACAAGCTCCACATTATATTACAATGAGAGAGGTAATCACTTGTCCACCATACTGGTCATAATTAAAAACAATAAAAACAACACGAAATGACATTACATCCGCAACAATAAACAAATGAGTCAATAGATCTGAAAGTAAAAAGGAAAAATACAAACAAATCTAACAAACATAAACTCTATTAACAAAACAAGGCAAAAAAACATAAAAANAAAAATACAAACAAATCTAACAAACATAAACTCTATTAACAAAACAAGGCAAAAAAACATAAAAAAAAAAAAAAAGAAAGAAAGAACAGATGAACTATGATTCGCTGGATGTGGCTCCTGTGCTTCGGCGGAGTAAGTGAAGAAGAGGGCTGAGCAACCTCTGGGCAAATGACATGGAAGGAAAAAAAAATACCTTTTATACTTGGTCAAAAAATGAACATTAATAACAGTGCATATATACTCCGTGTTTTCATAATTTTCAAAAAACTTATCATAAAACAAGTCAAGCTTGTTTTCTGTTTTTGTGTTTCAAATTTCATTTTTTTTTCTCAAAATTTTGAGATCAAAAATATTAAACAAACAAGTTTTTGATATTTTTAAATTTTTGAAAACAAAAAATAATTTTTGAGAACAAAATCAAATACACCCTAAGGTTCTATTTATTTTGTAACTGTTTTTTATTTGACTTTTGTTAAAGACCTTCTTACGGGAAATGGTGCGTGGTGGTGGTGTGAGAGTCTACCATATTTTTATTTTTATTATTTTCTAGGCTATTGTCCATAAAATTTTATTATTTTTTGTTCTGTATAACTATTTTTAGAATTATATAACCAAATAAATTTTACAACACAATAAACACCAAAAATAATTTTCGANTTTTTATTATTTTCTAGGCTATTGTCCATAAAATTTTATTATTTTTTGTTCTGTATAACTATTTTTAGAATTATATAACCAAATAAATTTTACAACACAATAAACACCAAAAATAATTTTCGAAAACTCTTTCTAAAAACAGTTTTTGAACACTAATTTTTAAGATATGAATCAAAGAGCCTAAAATTTTCGTACTTTTTTTGTCAATAACTTTAGGCATGGAATTTTATGTCATTAAGTCCACTTCAGCTCAACTTTTTTGTCCTCCAATCCAATTTAACCGACCCCTCTAGTATTCACACGCCTACAGCATCCAATTCCTTCGAGCTATTCTCTGCATTTTTCTTTTCCCCCTTCTCTCTATCCACACAAAAGCTTCCAAGATTCACGTAGCTTTCACGGTCAAAGGAAGAGTCATCGATTTGATAGTGAATCCAAGAGGCTAGTTCGTCTTCATGCATGAATAGGTAAGGTGTGGTTTCATTGTCCGATCGGATATTTCTAGCCATAGATTGTGGGGAGGGGAAGACCACCTCTTGGTCTATATGAGATTTCTTGGAAGATCTACTGTATCTGTAAGTAGCAGAGTAAAGAAATAAAAGGACAAATTTACATTGCTTCTATATTGGCATTCTGATCTTGCAGTGTCTTTTATTAAATTAATGGCTTTATATTATCAATTATTTTCATTCTTCTCAAGGAGTTATTCAGGCTTGTTATGGCAACTGATTAATCTCATCGAGATTGTATCTAGTCCCACATGTAGCTGGTGTTTGGATCACCATGGGAGGATTGGGTTGGATTGGATTTTAATCCGAACCGAATCCAATCCAATGCAAAGTGGTCCTAATTGGAGGATTATAAAGTAATGTATCAAATCCTATCTTATTTTTGGATAGAAACCATTTAGTTTGTGGGCCCTTTCACATGTAAAGATAAAATATACTAAAATGACTGTTGCACTTTTGTGTAAATAAATGTAATCCAATCTTATACCAAGTTTGAAATGGAATGAAAAAAGTCAAATCCATTAATAATGTCTTATTTAGGAAAAAAAAAATATGAATCAATAAGTTACGCATTTTTACAAAATATTGCAAAAAATATGTTTATAATTTATTATTTAATTTGTACAATACACAATTAATCACAAAAATTATATGCATCATAAAAAAATAAAAAATAATGTACAACACAAACGCATAATTATAATCCGAATATTATGCTTATACAAAAGGTCCCTATTTTACAGTCGTTCATACACAACATACAAATTACTTATTGGAGACCTTCCACAAAAAAATAAGGCATACACTTTGCCTTTTTGGAGACCCTCCACCACACAACAAGGCAATATGCTTAAATGTGATAGAAATACATATGCATGCCTTCACAACACAATCAAACAACCTACAGTCAACACAAAATAACCTTTAAACATCATGTAATTCCACAAGCGTAGTTACATAGATACTAAAATGACTTGTGAATCGTAGCAGTAAGTTCCGTATCGATGTAAAGGTTATTGGAAGAAGTCAATCGTCAATAATTATAACATCGACGGTTGAGGCGGATTTCACCGATGGAGATGATCCTACACTATCAGAAGGTTGTGCGCTTGATGGTGGAACATCATTGTTGAAAATGACTTTAAAATATTGATAGTTAGGACATGCGTCTAGACAATAATCCATAGCAAATTGTGCTTCCCGCATGATGTAAGCAACAAAGAGTTATTAATTAAAAGGTACAATAAAGAAGGTGTGTGCTTTTCACTTAAATTAATGAAGCACACTTCCAAAAATTCATTTGATCCCTCCACCTCTCCTTTTTTGAAACATTTATTGCTATTGTCCCAGGAAAATTTGCCCGTCTCTAACATCTCTGAAATTGTGAAATATTTTCGCTCCCAAAAAAAGATCATGCATAAAACATCACTCAATGAGAGGCTAAAGTTTGGCAGACGCCTATGTAGGACATCTAATAAGCGATCCATCGTTTTCTTGTCATATCTACCGTAAGGAGGTAAATGGTTCTGATGTTTGTACTCAATTAACGTATCAATCATGACTTCAGTTTCATTATCACTAATATTTGGAATCTTCATCCTTAAGTAACATAATTGCAACTTCACATTAGATGCATCAATCACAAACATAAATGTACAAGTACATAGTGCTCAATATGGTAAAATAAAACAAACAAGTGATTTCATTATACATAGATGGATAATCAACAATTCCACATTACAAAGTCCTTACAAACCAATATACCTTTATGTTTTCACAATTCCAAGAAGTAATTATAAATGGAACAAATGCACAAATAAACTAAGCATGGCCTTAAAAAAAATCCAACACTCATCCAACTTTGTCCAACAAGAAGTACCTAACATGGGTGAGTATTACACTCAAAAGCAACATCATGACACTTATTTTCACCACATAATATTTCGCTGATATGCATATCTTTGCACAATGAAAGGTGGTGGTACAATATCTTCCAGTACAACTTGTTCATTAATATTGTCTAACATTGCATTCTCTTCCCCAACATTATCATCACCATCTGCACCAATTGTTTCTGTTTTCATCCTTCTAAAGTGAATGTGTAACGCAATCTTAGTCTTATTGTAAGAATCACAAGACTTGTAAAGTGTACCAGGAAACTTATACACATGTACATGATACTCTAGCCATGAATGGTAAATTCCAACCTGTCGCCCTACAAATATGATATACTATCGTTCCCGCCTGTGCATTACTACTGACACCATAACATTGCTTGTTAATGATCAAAACTAAAAAACAATCTATATGCATGGTATCATACAAATGACCAATTAAAACACAACCAAACATGCAAAGTGGTGAATTTGCATACACATCAGCACAACATAAAATAGGGCCATGTTACATATANCTAAAAAACAATCTATATGCATGGTATCATACAAATGACCAATTAAAACACAACCAAACATGCAAAGTGGTGAATTTGCATACACATCAGCACAACATAAAATAGGGCCATGTTACATATATTCCACAATACGAACATAATTATATAATAAACAACAAGTTCAACAAAAAAGGCAAGAGATTGTTTATAGTGGTCCGTCAACTGATATACTGCCTTCAACATTAAGTACGATGTGTGTTCCACAATAGTCTTCCAACTTTAGTAGGACGTGAATACTCAAGCAAACTGAAAAAAATATCAACATTTATAGGATCTGAACAAATAATCTTAAGAGCAGCATGTCGATCCATTGTGAACAGACCATTTATCTTCTCTAGTTCAACATTCACTTTCCTACATGCATCAACAACATCATGATCATATCCAATACGATGTGCTATCATATTTAGTTGATTTCGACAATCATGCAAGTGTTCACCAAATACCTTCGACATGTCCGTCAAACTCTTAACTACCGACTCAAACATATTACTAGTCACCTTTGCTTTTTTTTTTCTTACTTGTCGATGGAGTTCTAACACTGTGCTCAACACCAACAGTTTGTCCAATAGGATTATTTGCGCTATATGAGGCAAGGATATCATCGCTAAAATGTTTCAATCCATCCATGTTATCGGTTTCATGCATAAAAGTTTCCACCTCAGCATCATCGTCTATGTCTTCCAAATCCACTGCATTCTCTCCAGTGGCACGATCCTTTCCAAAGATCACTCCCCAATTGTTGAAGTAAGGCCATTACTTCTCACATATGTGCTTAGCGTTTCTATCATTCTACACAAGTATACATTTAGGCAATAAATTCCAAGGCAAATGTAATCACTACAACAAAAATTATTTTTTGCGACGATTTTTTTCATCGCTAAATTAAAAAAAATTGTCACCAATTATTTTTTGCGACTTTTTTTTTTCGTCGCGTGTTCGTTGCAATAGCCTCGTCGCAGAAAATATTTTGCGATGCAAACTTATTTTCATCGCAAAAAAAATATTTTGCGACAAAAAAAAAATCACAAAAAATTGAAAAAAACGTCGCTAAAATCTATTCCACCAACGTAAAAAAATAAAAAATAATAATTTAATTAATTTTTCGCGACATAAAAAAATCGTCGAGAATACTTTTTTACATAAATAAAAATGTAAAAAATAATAATTTAATTCATTTTTTGCGAGATAAAAAAATGGTCGCTAATAATTTTTTACATAAATAAAAATGTAAAAAATAATAATTTAATTAATATTTAGCAACGTAAAAAAATCGTTGCAAATAATTTTTTACATAAATAAAAAATATAAAAAATAAATACATTTGCGACATATAAAAATCGTCAACAAATTGTTTCTACAATTTTGCACGACGATTTTAATTTCGTCGCAAAAAAGTTCTTTTTTTAAAAAAGTAATTTATGAAAAATGATATTCCAATAAAATTTTTCACCTATACACTAATAATACATGTATTCAATAAAAAACTAACACAATTAATACATTTCACATCTTTTTAAAAAAAATAAAATTTTATTTCTAAAAAGAATGAATTGCAAGAATCAAAGAACAAGAAAGTTCTAAAAATAGAGANACATCTTTTTAAAAAAAATAAAATTTTATTTCTAAAAAGAATGAATTGCAAGAATCAAAGAACAAGAAAGTTCAAAAAATAGAAAAAATGACTTTAATCCTTCAAGAGGATTTAAACCATCTCTAATTACATTTAATGTCTCTTAAACTTGAATAGTTCCAGCAGTCCAGCTCCATGCCTTGAAATACCATCTCCAAGCTCAACCAGGATCTGAACCACAATGCTGGACATGAACCACTGCATAAAACCATGGCCCTATCCAGGATTTGCATAAATTAGAAAAATTAGAAACAGGGCAGTAAATTAAGCAAAAAATGCAAGCCGGATAGTTTAGAACATCAACTCTATAAATCATCTTTTTATGATAGAGATCCTAATAAGACATCATGAAGAGCAGTCAACAACTAGCCATCATAATCCCCCTCAGAAAACTTGTTTTCTGGATAGAACACGGCCACAACCGGATTCCCACCAAATTTTCTACCATTTAGGCCAGTTCGAGCTTTAGTTGCACTCTCAACATCTGCATACTCCAAGAACACCTAAAGAAACAAGGCAATCATTATAAGCAAGTGGACTTCAAAAAGTCGATACATCCACGAAAAGAGATTGCAGGTACTTTTATGCCCAAGAGAAAAAAGACAGTTTGAACAAAGTAAAAGCTAAAGACTAACAAATCAGATATGAAATCCCCGTTAGTCTCCAAAGAAAAAAGTTGAAGTGTTCAATGACCTGGACATCAGCAAAGATATCTAAGCATTTTATAAGAATTTAAGGCATGGGCATGATTCAAGGAGAGCAAAGGCAAATGTACTTACATAAGCAAAAAAAACAAAGTGCCATTTTACCTGTAGATAGAAACGCCCATCTGGAAGTGGTTCACAACTACATGGAAAGAAACAGGTTGTCATAAACCAAGGCAGCATAAACAACAATTTGTGGAAGAATAGACATTATGTAAATATTTTTTTTCCCGGAAAGTATTACGTAAATAGTTAATGTGAGTCAATGATTGAAAAACAAAATGAAACAACATTTGCAAAAGAAAAATAAAAATAAACACCATACTCAGTAATCTCCACTTCACAAGCATAATCAGCTATAGAATCTGTTGTTGAATCATTGATAACCTACATGATAAATAGAAAGGCACAGCTAGTAACAGTGAGGGAATGCAGGACAATCAAATATAAATTAATGAGAAATGGGGACAGAAAAGGACCAGTTACAATAATATACCATTCCCATTCGATGATTTCTTTCCATTATTCTCCTGACCTGTTGTTAAAGAAATAGACCGAGATTAATATAATCTGTATTAGGACTGTCTTACATTGATTTAGATAGAAAATTATAACCATTAATTGCACATTTGCAGGATAGACTCTTGTAAAGCAATTCAACATGTCATTTCACTTCGAATGTTAATGTGCCTTCACATGCCACGAGGCAATAGACAATAACACAAAATTTTATGTTTGCTGGAGTCCAATACTGTCATGACACTGCTTAGTGAGAATAAACAATTATTTTCTTTTACTGCCTAAAACTTGGGGGAAGTATTTCCCAGTGACTACGATATAAGCATATCGAATGAGACAAAGGATAACTAACACTAATTACGCTTGCATCACTATAAAAGATGCCTGAACTAACTGCTAAATGATGGACTTAATTCAGTGTTCATGTAAGGGTAGAAGTCTCATTTCTTTAATTAACGAAGTAGAGCTCCAAAGAAAAAATCAGGTATCAGAAGATGAGTGTACAAAAAATGAGATTTTGATACCTAATCTTGAGAAAACACTTAATAATGAAATGCATTGCCTTCATGAGACAGAATCAACAAAAATAAAACCCAAAAATCCCATAAATAAAAAGATTTTTTAACCAGAAAAAATAAAACCAAAGATTTCCTATGGATCAAAAGCCATGACTCATGAGTATCTACATTCTAAAATGTGAAACTATCTGTACACTTACTTCGGCATGAAACTAAACAGGGCAAAATAAGGATGGATCTGGCACAGCAATGTCCGAGCTTGCATACAATTGTGACAGATCCTAGATGATATTAGCTTTACAATAAGTCAAAATATTTGAATATCCAAAATAGATACAACTGAAATTCGATTAGAATTAGCTCTACATGGATAAATTTTCACTTCAACCATAGTAGGTTGCCTTAAGTTGGATTCACATTTAAACAGATGATTCTAAACCCTTATCATATCAGGTTTTCAACCTCCTGTGGAGTGTGCTAATCACTTGTGAATTGCTTTGTGCAGTGCAAGTAGCACTCATAGTTTCAGACCTTGTGATGCGTCAGACTTCCCATTAAAGGTCAGTATCTAAATAGTAAACTACCAGATACACNCTTCCATTATTCTCCTGACCTGTTGTTAAAGAAATAGACCGAGATTAATATAATCTGTATTAGGACTGTCTTACATTGATTTAGATAGAAAATTATAACCATTAATTGCACATTTGCAGGATAGACTCTTGTAAAGCAATTCAACATGTCATTTCACTTCGAATGTTAATGTGCCTTCACATGCCATGAGGCAATAGACAATAACACAAAATTTTATGTTTGCTGGAGTCCAATACTGTCATGACACTGCTTAGTGAGAATAAACAATTATTTTCTTTTACTGCCTAAAACTTGGGGGAAGTATTTCCCAGTGACTACGACATAAGCATATCGAATGAGACAAAGGATAACTAACACTAATTACGCTTGCATCACTATAAAAGATGCCTGAACTAACTGCTAAATGATGGACTTAATTCAGTGTTCATGTAAGGGTAGAAGTCTCATTTCTTTAATTAACGAAGTAGAGCTCCAAAGAAAAAATCAGGTATCAGAAGATGAGTGTACAAAAAATGAGATTTTGATACCTAATCTTGAGAAAACACTTAATAATGAAATGCATTGCCTTCATGAGACAGAATCAACAAAAATAAAACCCAAAAATCCCATAAATAAAAAGATTTTTTAACCAGAAAAAATAAAACCAAAGATTTCCTATGGATCAAAAGCCATGACTCATGAGTATCTACATTCTAAAATGTGAAACTATCTGTACACTTACTTCGGCATGAAACTAAACAGGGCAAAATAAGGATGGATCTGGCACAGCAATGTCCGAGCTTGCATACAATTGTGACAGATCCTAGATGATATTAGCTTTACAATAAGTCAAAATATTTGAATATCCAAAATAGATACAACTGAAATTTGATTAGAATTAGCTCTACATGGATAAATTTTCACTTCAACCATAGTAGGTTGCCTTAAGTTGGATTCACATTTAAACAGATGATTCTAAACCCTTATCATATCAGGTTTTCAACCTCCTGTGGAGTGTGCTAATCACTTGTGAATTGCTTTGTGCAGTGCAAGTAGCACTCATAGTTTCAGACCTTGTGATGCGTCAGACTTCCCATTAAAGGTCAGTATCTAAATAGTAAACTACCAGATACACAACCTTCAGGAATCCATTTTCTGAATGCTAGGAATCTATCAGTTTCCCCCGCACCATGCTAAGATCCTGGTCTCATTGAATCAGATCAACATTCATACCACGACCAATTTAATGAATAAGCCAGAATTCAATTGTCTACATTAATTTTAGTAGAAGGCAGCAATAGTCACATCTATCCTTAAGAAAGATTTTGCCATGCAAAAATATTCATGTTTATTTCCCCATTGAAGCATCCAAATAGTTGAATTCAATACCATAATTTTAACCAATTGAAAGACTTCGACTAACATGCGAATAAAGACATCAATTCCACCCTTCATGGCTTCATTTGCTCAACAAACTACGTAAAAAAATAACAGGGAGAAAGAGAGAGCATCATTTTTTTTCGGGTAAATTGAGAGAGCATCATTTTATCGTCAATTAAACCCCATCTCATTTAACAAGTTCACGAAGTGGAGCTCAAAGGACTTACAAAATTCACCCAATCCTAAAATAGAGAAACTGAAGGGAAATTCTGAAAAAGTAAGCACTATAATGATTTAGAATGTAAAAAATTACCCTGAATTGCCGTGCTGCATTAAACAAGACAATCACAGAGCCATGAAGGTCTTCATATAATTAGAACATAAATCATAGCCGGCAGCATCAAAATCAATGTATCACTGATAATGTAAGGTATAAGCTGACTTAGCTTGTTCACCATTCAAGACAATCTCTGCCAATTGAATGTTGCCACTTAACCCAGATGCCTTGCAGGATGGCATGAATGAAAAGCCATCAAGAAGCTTCACACATTTCAACCCCCATTTGACCATCAAGAACTCAATGAGATGATGTCCACTGCACATAGTCAGAACCAAGGCCAATTTATAATCACAGAGAGCAGAAAGAGAGGGACAAAATTATCTATTGCTATTAGCAAAACACCTACCTCTAAAAGCACATGTTGCAGACTTAAAAAAGTGCAGGACAGAGAGAAGACAAATGATACCTTCGATTGTGATAGGTGGTCATAAAAACTGAACCAGGAGATTTCTGGAGGATGAACGCCACGGTGGCAAAGAGATCATCGAAGGCTTACCATCACA